TAAAGCACTGACTTCAACAATCAAACATATAATTATTGATGTGATTATTTGTTGACCTTACACATTCGTCAAACAACTCCACTTTGTTCATTTTCTGTATCCAGTGTTTGCCAGGTGGGGAGAGGGTGCATGGCATTTGGAAGGACAATTCTTTGGCGTATTCGTCAGGTTATGCTATGATGACCATGCTTAGCAAACAACTCTGAATCTCAGTGCTTGGGATAAACATTGATATCCTGCTCTCTGGACTGATGTGGGCTGGGGTTTTAGGTCCCTTCCCTTTACTCATGTCTGTTTCTCAGTCAGCAGCTCAGGTGGAGGGAGTAGCAGCTGCCTGAGTATGCTGTCATAGAGGATAGGATGAGCATAAAGGAGTGATGGAAATACAGAAGGGATCTTAGCACTTCAGCCCAGAATGGACACAATCACATAGTTTCCCACATTCCTTTGGCCAAAGCAATTTTCATGACCCAAAGTCAATGTAGGACCCTTGACATTCATAGCAGCTGGGGGCTAAATGTTGGTAATACTTCCCAGTCATTGTGAAGACTCCAATAGCTCCTTGGGTGTTGAGTCACTCCTAGCACATGCATTGAGATCACTTCTCAGTGCTTGTCACACAGTAGGCATTCCATGCGTCTTTGGTGAAAAATTAACTTTGCCAAATCACCCTCTAGAACCTTTGTAAAAACTTATTGACTAGGAGTGCAATGGCAGTTTAATGTCCTTTAAACAGTAATTATTACTTTCATGCAAAGGTATCTTATTTTAATTTTTTAAATGTGAGGCTGAGAATTTTTTATATGTTTAGTGACAATTTCTTTTAGAAATTCTCTCAAGTCTTTTGTTCAATTTTTTTTCTTTTGCTCATTTTTGTATTAAATTTTTCTTCCTCATTTGTAAGAACTCTTGTCACAGGTAATGAATATTTTCCCATTTTGCCTTTTAAATGTTTTACTGATTTTCTGACAGGACAGACAGGTATTGTTCATATTACCTAGCTTCATCTCTCACCATTTTCTTGCATGGCCTGCTGCTGTGAACATTTTTACTGGCAACATCATGTTACACAAAATGGACACAACAAAATGTATTTAGTCACTCCCTTTCATGGGCTAATGACATGGTTTCCAGGCTTTGCTCTCATGAATAACATTGTGATGAAGATCTTTGTACATATGCCCTAAAAGTGGAAGTATCACATCCAAGGATATTTTTTGAGTTCTGATACATTTTGCTGATGACTCTTGAGACTGCCCTCCAGGACCCACACCTCATATCTTCACACTACAGGTGCCTACATGCCAGGCTATGCTGATGAAGGCTTTACTCATCAGCCTTGTCTGGCAGCAAGCAAGGTGAGAGGAGTAACAGTGGGCCTGGGGTGAGCGGCCAAAGGGAGGTTGTCTAGAACCCTCCAGATACTCCTTCTGCCTGGAATGCTTTTCTTTGAGCTCTTTCCATGGCACATTCTTAAGATTTAGATCTCCTCTCAAAAGGTGCCTGAGAGGCCTATCCTGACCCCTTCATCTGGAAGAGCCTTGGACTCCAGCTATCCCCTATCATATTCATTATACTGGTGTTTTGTTTTGTTTTGTTTTTCCCCTGAAGAGCACTGGTCTAGCCAGTATTATCCTATTGAATGACATATTTCATTTCTGGCAGTAACTATCTTGTCTGGCTTGCTGACTGCAGTATCTCCAGCACCAGGAACTATTCTCTGGCACAGTCAAGAGTGGGTCTCAAGTTGGCTGCTCATAGGAATTGCCTGTGAAATTTTAAACATTTCAAACTCTAAAAATCTTGCCCCCCAAAATAAGAAATCTTTAATCATTAAGTCCCTTGACCAGGAAAATGTGAGATATAATTTTCTACGGGAGATACAGAATGTATGAGTGTATGGGTGTTCGTGTGTGGGTGCTGGGTTGTGTTCAAAAGCAGAAGAGGTTTAGGTTGGCATGCACCACCCGGGGCCTCCAGTTTTTACCATTGAAATGTGATATGCTAAGTATAGGACAGTGTGTTGAAAAACTTTACTGCTTGAGAATAGATTAGCATATGATTAAAAATTTTCAGGAAGAATGAATTTAACTTAAAGACTCTTAGTTCATTTATGGATCTAAAATTTTGTGTGATCTATAAAGAAACTTAGTAATAGTGAAGTCACTGTTCACTACTGTGCTACATGTTAAACAGTATGCTTCAAGGGAAAAATCCAGTATTTATGTCTCTCTCCAGACCAATTAAATAAGAATTTCTGTGAATAGAACCCAGGCATTGGTAGTTTTTAAAAACTCCGCACATAATCCCAATATGCAGCAAGTTTGAGAGCCGTTGACATAGAAGTGATATTTGTTGGATGAATGAATGCTTGATAGGTGAGTAAAAGGACATTGTGGATCAGAAATCTGGGGTTCTGGTCTCAGCACAGCCACTAACATGCTATGTGACCTAAACTGTGTTACTCCACTTTCCTAAACACCCACAGTGGCACTAGATGTCTTTAAGATGACTTCTTACTTTAAGACTTCATGATTCTCCTTCTTGGCCACAGCAAGAGCCCAGAGTTGGAAGGGTTGGAGAAATCAGAACAGAATGATTGAGGCTTTATCGAAAACTTCACTTAAAATAAAGAGAATAAAGATGATCCTAACAGGAAACTCTTTACTATGGCACCCTTTTTTTACCCCTCAAAAAGGAAAGTATTTGTGAGGTTCCTGAGAATCTTGCACTTTGAAAAGCATTACACAGGGGGATTCCTGGGTGGCTCAGCGGTTTAGCACCCGCCTTTGGCCCAGAGCGTGATCCTGTCGAGTCCCGGGATCGAGTCCCACATCAGGCTCCCTGCATGGAGCCTGCTTCTCCCTCTGCCTGTGTCTCTACCTCTCTCTCTCTCTCTCTCTGTCTATCATGAATAAATAAAATCTTAAAAAAAAAGAAAAGAAAAGAAAAGCATTACACAGCTCTGTACTGAATATGCAGAGGAGGGACAGAATGATCCCTAATCCCCAAAGATTTCTCTAGGGAGATAAACTATGTGTATGGGTACCCTGATTCAGGAGAGAGGGCTAGAGATGCATTTATTCCAGATTTCTCAGAAACCTCCTTCTCTGATCTTGTCTGTTCAAGCTCTTTTCCAAAGCTGCACTGGGATTCCTCTCTCAAACACAGGAAGCCCAAGTTCTCTTGACTACTGCCATGGCCGTTTTGCTTTGCGGGGATCTTTTTTTTTTTTTTTTTTTTTAAAAAAAAAAGCATGCTGCCTACCCAGCTCTGCTACTATCACCCTACACAGACAGTAAAACTGGGAAAGTTAGCTCCTCATGTTTATTTAAACATTGCAAAGGCATTTACAACAGGGAGTTGTGTGTAGCATACCTGAGTTCTATTATTCTCCAGACCCTGTTCCCTGAATTACTTATATACAGCAATTTACACTTCCTTGCTATGTGAGATTTTGCTGTCTGTCCCTGGGCATCAATACTTCCTAGTCATTCAACAAATTACCCTCCACTCCCTCTCATCCTATACCACTTCAGGGAAGGACAATTTTAAAATTAGAAAAATAAATACATTTGGGAAGTTCATTTGGGTGCCTTAAAAAATTGAGATTCATTGCCCCCCCCCCCAGTGGGTGAGCCCAAGATGTCACATAACTTCACTAAGAGAGTTCCCATCTCGATGCCTTAATTTCCGTATTCAAACTTCTCAAATTTGGGCTGCCTGGCACACAGTTTGGTTAAGCAGTATTTGCTAATGGCTCTTAAGAAGAAAACGGCTGTTTTTAGGGCCTTTGAGACCATATGTGTAGTCGGTCAGGACAAACTCCAGGAAGAGTACCAAAAAGCCCAAAGAATTTCTTCCCGGACAAACATTTCCTGAGTATCTACTTGGTAAGATGCTAGGTATGCAGAAAGGAAACACACACACACACACACCTTGATCTCCAGGAGCTCAGAGCTTCGAGTCCGCACTCCCCTGACACCCTGTATTACCCCTCCCCACTACACACGGAGAGGGAATGATTTCTTTTTCTTTCTTTCTTTCTTTTTTTTTTTTTTTTTATTTATGATAGTCACACACAGAGAGAGAGAGGCAGAGACACAGGCAGAGGGAGAAGCAGGCTCCATGCACCGGGAGCCCGACGTGGGATTCGATCCCGGGTCTCCAGGATCGCGCCCTGGGCCGAAGGCAGGCGCCAAACCGCTGCGCCACCCAGGGATCCCAGGGAATGATTTCTTTACAGCAAATCTTCTTCATCCCTTAGAACGAACCCCCTCTCTCATTCGTGTGTATGTGTGTATATATATATATAGGCTGGAGAAGCCAATATGAAGCAAGTGTGCGTTTTGAGGGTGTCTCGTGGCCCGGGAGACAACCCTTTTATTCGACTGCCTTCTTCTGGAACAGACAGGGGGTCTAACGTGTAAGTGATGTGGCAGCTAAAATGACGTCAGAAGTTGCACTCTCCGAGATGACCTTTTCTCACGGAAGACCCAGAACTGGGGAACCCGGTGTCCTGGGAAACAAGATGCACTGGCTGGAACGCCGGGCGGCGGCGGGCTTGCAGAAGCAGCTCTTGGGGGCTCCGTACGTACATCCAGAAGGTGGCCCAAGAGCGCACGAAGCAGGGGACACCTTGGTCCAGCCGGAACCCGGCCGGGGCCCGGAGTTCCAACACGAGAGCGGAGACGGGGCTTCAAAGTCCGGCTCGCTCGCGGAGCGGACCGAGAACCCCGACCTGGGGCGGCGGATGCCCGTGGGACGCAGAGAGGGAGCCACAGTGCAAAACTTCCCCGAGACGAAGGACTCGCCGCTTCGGGAAAGCCCCTCGGAGAAAACCGCGGAGCTCCGGAGCGAGGCTCCCGCGGGACGCGGCCCGGCGGCCCCGGGAGAGCAGCTCGGCCTCCCCGCCGCCGCCTGGCCTCGGGCCCCGGGCCCCGGCCGCTCTCGCGCAGGCGCAGTGGCGCGGCGCTCCCGGCCCAGCGCGCATGCTCCGCGCGGCCGCCGCGCTCCCGGCCCCGGGTGGCGGCGGCGGCGGCGGCGGCGGCGGAGGAAGTTCCCGCTTCGCCTCCACCCCGGTAGCAGCTTCGCGGCCGGGGACAGCTTCCCCCGACGCCCCGCAGACCTTGCTGCCGCCGCACGCCTGTCCCAGGACCATGGGGCTGCCCAGGGGCCCGGAGGGCCAGGGGCTCCCGGAGGTAAGGACCTGCCTCTCCGCGACTCGCCCGCGTTCCTGGGAGAGGGCCGAGCCGGCGGGGCGGCGCGCGGAGCGGGGCCCGGGCCTCCTCCAGGGCGCCCCGCCCCCCTCGCAGGTGCGCCCCGGCCCCCCCCCCCCCGCCCCGCGGGGACTGACGAGCGGCTCCGCGGGCCCGCGGGACGGAGGTGGTCGCCCCGCGCAGCCCCCGCCCGCGGGCCCGGGGTCCGGGGTCCGGCTCCCGCTCCCGCGGGCAGTGCCCCTGCGCCCCGGGGCTCGCCGCGCTGGGAGTCACGAGACGGCGCCGGGACGGTCCGGGCCCCGGGCGCGGAGGGCGGTGACCTTGTGGCGCCTCCCGCCGCCTCGCGGGCTCGCCCGTGCCCGCAGCAGCAGGAAGTTCGGGGGCTGGGGGGGCGCTGGGGGGGGCCCTGGGGGGGGCGCTGGGGGGGGCGCTGGGGGGCTGTGCGGGGCCGTGCGGGGCCGGGGGCCGGGGCCCGGCGGAAGCGTGGCTGCTGCTCCGGGACGTAGCGGGGGCCTTTCCTTGCAGAGGTGTTTGTTATTAAACACTCACTGGCTCCTGAGGGATAGGATAATCGGTGGTTTCCGGATTTCCACGTTGCCTGGGAATAAAAGGAAGGAGCGTTTGCTTTTGGCTGCAGATGTCATGCCGCTAGCTAGGTGGTTTGCAAGCGTCTTTTCCTCCGCTTGATTTACTCCAGAGCTAGCATAGTGTACTCGATTCTGGAAAGAAATGGAATCCACACCGCACCTCTTCCCCGCTCCTAAGCAAGCGTGTGGCAGGATCGATTGCTTGACTCGGTGAGTGGTTCCTTCGCTTTTGACCGCCTGTGCCCCCACCACGCCACCCCACTCTCTGCCAGCCCTCAATTCTTTCATCCCACAAGTACCCACTGATGGAGGGACCACTATTCTGTGCGTGAAAGCTGGGGACATAGTGATGGAAAGACAGACTTATCTGTCAGTGTGTGATCCCAGAACCTAAGTCCATTTTGTTGGAATTGTAGGTAAACCTAAGAAATGTCATGTTGTCAGAACCCTCATATTAGGTAAGACCTTACTTACATCGACGGAATGGGGCATTGTGAAGACAGAACTGTATCGTGATACTTGACATTTCTTTGTTGCCACTTGTTTATTTTAGCTCTCCTCAAGTTTTTGCCTGGCCTTATGCTCTAGACTCCCTCTGGCCTCTCAGGTTCCTTAAATCCCTCCAATTCAGTGCCCCACAGTACTATAAATGGGGGGGGGGTGTCTTTCTAGAATAAAAAGGAACTCGGTCCTCGGTGTTGTTTAACCCTTCTGTGACTGCTAGGAGGCTGGGTCTGATTTGTCACTTTTCTAGGAGCCTAAGACAGTTCTTGGCAATTAATAGGCATAAAGAGTAAATATAGTTAAATTATTAACATTTAGTTAAAAGAATAATGCATACAAACATGGATAGTGTGTGTCATTAGATTGTCACTAATCCAGTTAATTCCTTAGATTCAATTTTTTAAACCCTTTATGTTTGTGAAGGAGAGGAAGACAGCTAGACTTGGCTTTGCCCTCTAGTTTACATGAACTACAGTACAGAGCAAATGAAAATTTAGCATGCCTGGTCTAAGAGCTCATAGTCATTCATCTTTATCAGAACTTTATTCTTTTTAACAGATGTATTAGCCAATCTGATGACTTTTTATACCCTCAAAAGAGGGTATGCGTTCAGTCACTGTGTGTTGCCTAGTGGCTGTTTTCATTTTGTTTCAGTGTTTTAATCTGTGAAGTCAATATGGAGTCTTATATTCTCCATTCAGTGTCTTGCACCAGGAAGTTATTTCACAGGTTATATTGCAAAAGTGTATATACTTCTCCATTCCGGGGGTGAGTGGATAAAGAACATAGGCCATGCATCTGCCTTGGGGTTGGTCAGTGGGTATCCTTTAGGTACAAGTGGAGGCAGAAATGGTTCTCCTGGGATGAAATCTCCTTTTCTTGGAAGTGTCATGATAAGTGATGACTGACCAAATGAAGGGTTCCTGTTTTACATCCTGGGAGTTTTAAGAAAATGCTTGTATCATCTCATTTTTCTTTTCTGCTCCATCTTTGTGAATCATATTACTATTTACCTTCTCTTTTCTCTGAGTCTCGCCACTTAGAGATGTTGCTTAACTGTCAGGCCTTTTGCGAAGGAAGAAAAGGTGTGAATAGTTAACATTATTTTTGCATGTCCACCAAAAACTTGGGAATGCTCTGATAGGCTGGACCAGGGTTACTTGAGAGAGAAGTAAAACAAGCTGTCACCTTCACCACCCCCTATTGCAAGAGATTGTCAATCATTTTAATAATTCTTTGTTCAACTACTTGTTAATATGTTAGCTCCCTCTCTTGGCAATTTGTACTTCAAAATAAACTTGAATTTCCATTATCAGTGTCATGACTATGAAAACATTTTGTTAATCCACGACTGGCATAGGTCATGTACTTTATTGTAATGATTGAATATGTCATTCCATATTTAATTGTCCTTTGAGCCTTACTGCTACTTCTGAAGAGGTGTAAACATGACTGAATAATATATGGATCCTCTCCTGATCTAGCTAATAGCCCATTTCAAAAGAAAGGCATATATATTAACACCAGACATTTTACTCAGAAGAGGTTGATACTTAATTGTATGAATGGCAAGAACTATAAATAAAATGGAAATGCAGAGGAGTGACCGTTTGTCAGGGTTGGCATCAAATAGGAGCTAGAATTTGAAAATTGTTTCTGGGTGAGTAGAGAATATCAGGAGAAGGGAAGGGGTGTGAACAGTGAAGAAATGGGAATGAGCCATGCTTGAGGTGGGCCATAGCCATGACTGGATTGTTTTGAGGGGAGGTAAAGGGTGAAGCTGAAATGATAGTTTGCAGCCAAAGATCTGAATGCCAAACCAAAAACTTTGGAGTTTATCTTACAGACAGTGTATGATGCATTAATGATAAGGACTAGGGGATGAGCAAAAGAGGGATGATGCGGAAGCTGTGATTTAGGAAGGACTGAGGAAAACAGATTAAGAGAAGAAAGATTGAGAGGCAATTGCAATAGTCCTGGCATGAAGTGTAAATAAAAGGGAGGGGAGGATAAATGTGACACACATAGTAAAGGAAGATTTCACAGGCATGTTGGGTGAGGGAATAGTCAGAGGTAGGTACAAGAATTCGAGCCAGCTATACGTTGGTCGTGTTTTAGGTAGAGAAGTGGTTTTTTAATGTTCTATAGTAACAGAAGAGAGGGAAGGTACAGTTCCTGAAAGTAGATGGTGGCAAAAGTATTAGAATATTTCAGTGGTTTTAAGTTGTATATCAACATCTGGGAGTGAAGGTAAGCTTGAACTTAAAATTTTAAAGTCAGGTTCCTATTTAAATACATGAGATGAATTTATTATTTTTAAGGCAATCTCATTATGTGGCAGTAATCACCTTTCAGTGTATCTAGGTTGAAAACCCTCCTTATATTTGCTTTAGAGATCAAAAAGAGAAGTGCAGAGAAAGATACATATTTGAACTCCCTTCTTTGTTCTTGCATTGTTTGTCAGTAGCTTCTGGGACCGATTGTATATACAGTTTAAAAAAAACCCCAACACTTTGTTTTTGTCTGTAAGGAGTTTATAACATAGTCAGGAACCTGTCAAGGAAACGGCGTGTTTGAGAACAGGGAGGTGATGTGCTGTAATTTTCCTGTCCCTGGGTTCCTTCAGCACCGGATAAGTAATCTGTACTACCTGTGTGTGTCTTCTGCCACCTGTGACGATTAACACAGCTCATGGAGGCCTGAGGAATGCTATTCTTTGTGACTCTGGCAGCACTGTGTCTCCATGCTCCTGCATGAACACAGTGATAATAGCCAATGTCACCTGCTCCTTAGCTATTAAATTGTGGCATCAGAGGATGCACCCAGTGGTCCTGTACTCAAGGTAGCTTTTACCAGCCTAACTTTTACCTTTTGTTTTAGGTAGAAACAAGAGAAGATGAAGAACAAAATGTCAAGCTAACTGAAATTCTGGAGCTTTTGGTGGCAGCTGGGTATTTCAGGGCAAGAATTAAAGGTTTATCACCTTTTGACAAGGTAAGAGGAAACCTTACTAGCCATTAGGCTGTGTTTTGTTGGAGTGACATGGCTTACCAGGGTTGAGAAAAGAGGAAGAGATTGTGTTTTTACTTTATCCAGTGTCCATATTTCTTTCTGATTCACGTTTGTTATTAGAATTGTTCCAATTTCCTATTAAAAGAAAATAAAAATCTATCAGCAGATATGCTGTGAATTCCTTTTCTGTGTACAGATCTTTGGGAAGTGCAAAGAAGCATTAGAAATAGTTCTTCCTTTTAAGGAACTTACAGTTTGGGTGGAAAGATAAAGCTTATGTAAGATAAAATAATCCAAGTTAATAAGGAGCTGTCCCAAGTCAGTATGCTCACAATTGCCAGATATTCTAATGATGGTAAATTCTGATTTTAGAGGAGAGAGAAGTCACTATGGGATGAAATCTGTTAATTCAGCAGAACCTTCAAGAATTAAGCACAAGGCATAGTAATAAGTGTTGAGGGCACAGAGATAAGACTCAGGGAGCCCAGCTTCTATAGCATAGGGAAGGAAGACAGGTAAAGCAACATATGTAGAATAAGTGTCACAATGCAGTAAGTGCAGCAGAGATGAAGCTTCCAGATCAGACAGCAGGAAAGCTTTCCTGGTGGAAGAAAGTGTTGAGTGCTTCAGTGGGCCACAGCCTGGCCTTGCATAACAATCACTGTGGATTGTTGTAAATACAGATGTTGAGGCCTTGCCCTTTGATATTTTGGTTAGAACTGGGCTGGGGCCTGGAATCTGTATTTTATAGGCATCTCATGTGTGTCTAAAACACAGCCAAGGATAAGAGTCCCTATTGTTTTTTCTAACATCAAGCTGTGCCTGAAAAGGATTTTGTTTCGAAGTGGTGTTTTAGCCTCAGTCTCATTTGCATCTCTGAGAAATCCTATGAGAAAAGTAGAGCAGGGATTCTCCTCTCCTTTAGATACATGAAAAAAATAAAATGTATGGAAATTCAGTAATGAGCCACAAATGTCAGCCTTGCTACTAACCTGTCTGTGATCTGTAAAACATACAATTCCTCTGGAGTCTGGCACATCCCTGAAACTGGATTAAGACTTCTCCTGGCTGAGAATTAATGTCCATCCCTCTCAGTATAAAGAGGATCTGTGAATGGTGTGCCCATGTCTTAGTGTAAGTCAGCTTCTTGGTCACACTAGCCACATTTCAGGTGCTCAGTAGCCGTATGTGGCTAGTAGCCACCGTATTGGATGGTACAGATACATTAACGTCACTGTGGAGAGTTTTATTCATTGGTGCTATTTTAGATGAATTGTAGTTGATGGAGTCAGAAGAACACATATACTCTCTCAAAAGATATGTATTTTTGTGTAGTCATTGATTCTGTAAAAACTACTTGTTTTTTTTTCTACCTTCCATTTCTTCCCCTATCCCCAAGCTAGAAAGAGAAAACAGATACTTTCTTTGTGTCTTGCAGGTAGTAGGAGGAATGACTTGGTGCATTACCACTTGCAGCTTTGACATAGACGTTGATTTGCTCTTTCAGGAAAACTCTACAATAGGACAAAAAATGTAAGTTGTCAGGGTTTGCCATAGAAGAGCCTAAAGGGGGTGAAGGGAGCTAACTTTTGAGTGTCTACTATATGCCAAAAGTTGTGCCAAACACTTTGCATGTTTTATTTTAATTTTCATTGCAACAGGTATTATCACACTTTTATGTATTATGAAATTGAGGTTGATAGAAGCCATGGTCACATAGTTAGCATGAGTCATTTAATGCTCAGACTATTTTTTTTTAACACTCTCTCTCTCTCTCTTTTCCCTAGTTTCATTGAGATTATCATCCTATAATATTGTATTAATTTAAGGTGTACTACATAATGTTTTGATATATATATATATTGCAAAATGATCACAGTAAATTTAGTTAACATCCATCACCGCACATAGTTGTAAATGTTTTTTCTTATGGTATGGACTTTTAACACCTACTGTCTTGGCAGCTTTCAAGTATACAATATGGTGTTGTTAATTCTAGTCACCATGCTGTAGATCACATCCCCACTTACCTATCTTATAACTGCAAGTACGTTTTGTACTTATTGTCTCCCTTTACCCATTTCCCTCAGCTCCCACCCTTTTGCCTCCGGCAGCCACTAATGTGTTCTCTGTTTCTATGAATTCAGTTATGCTGGACTCCATATACACATGAAATTGTACAGTATTTGTTTTTTCTCTGATTTATTTCACTTAGTATAATGCCCTCAGAGTCCGTTCATGTTGCAAATGGCAAGATGTCCTTTTTTCTTTTATGGCTGAATAATATTCCAGTGTGTGTGTGTTCGTTCATCCATGCATGGACACTTAGGTTGTTTCAGTGATTGGCTATTGTGAATAATTCTGCAGTGAACGTGGGGGTGCAGATATTTCTTGGATATACTGACATCATTTCCTTCTGGTAAATGCTCACAAGTGAAATTGTTGGATCATATGACAGTTCTATGATTTTTTAAATTTTTTTGAAGAATGTCCATACTGTTTTCCATAGGGGCTGTAACAATTTATAATTTCACCAGCAGTGGACAAAGATTCCTTTTCCTCCATAGCCTTGCTGATGTCAGTTATCTTTAGTTTCTTTGAGTTTAGCCATTCCAACAAGTGTGAGGTACTATCACATTGTGGTTTTGATTTGCATTTTCCTGATGATTAGTGATGTTCAGTAACTCAAATAGTTTTTCTAATACTCTAATAGTTTCCAGTAGCTGCTTAGTTTCTCTCTGTCCAAAGGCAGCTGGAAGGAATGTATTGGATGGAAGTTGAATAGGGTGAGGAGAGAATCTTTCCCTCCCCACTGCCTCTGTGTAAGGCAGAGCCTCACTTTGCCTGCCATTGAGAGAAGGCAGCGTGGACTCCTTGCTAGAGGTTTCACCTGAGTGTATGCTGCCCAGTCTTCCATAGCTCACCATAACTTGGTGACTTCATTAGACCACTAAGGATCCCTGGTTCTGCCCAGCCCTGCCATTGGGCGCTGTATGACCTTGGACAAGCCTCAGTTCCATTATCTGTCAGGGATTTGTGTTTTCAGATTTGTGTGCATCTGTGACTTATTTAATCATTTTTCTGAGGCCTTATCCTCCCCCAGGAAAAAACTCTTCCAAATGGATTAAAGGTGGTTTGCAAATATGCATAAGAAGCAGTGATAGAGAAAAGGGGAAGCAAAGCAGACGGAAAACAAATGGAGTTGGGGAAAAGGCTACAATATTCGTCATGGGCCACAACATGCCTTGTTTTCCTGAGGATGGGCCACAGATTTGGCTCTAAGCTTTCTGGCAGCCAACAAAAAGAGAAAAACATGATAAATTACCCAATTCACAGTTTCCATACAGAAGAAAAATTGGGCCCACAGAATCACCGAAATTCTTAATAATAAGACCAAAGTGTATCTCTCGGCTCCTCATTAAAGAGGACGTATTGTTCTCTGGACGCTGCTCATCAGTGCCTAGCCATGACTAGCAGAGCTCTACATCTGTAGCATCTGTCATTCTGGGACTGTGGCATCGTACCCAGTGACCTGTAGTGAAAAGTCCTTCACTGGGAATCAGTGGGACAGAATCTGGGCATATGGTTCTGCTCTCTGCTAGTTAGGCTAAATCCAGAGGTAGATTTTTATCCTTGTGTGTTTGAGTTTTTTTGTTTCTATTGTGTAGGTGCTACATCCATGAAATAAAAAATAATACTGCCAAAGGGTTCCAATACACAGCTAATGTCTCTCCTCCTGTTCCTATTCTGTACCCTGGTTTTATTCCCCAGAAAGAATCAGCTTTGAGTTTAGGTTTTAGATTTTTCAGAGAGCTCACTTCTACATCTTTAACCATGTACGTTTCATTCAAGTCTGATAGGAGGAATTTAGCTTACCTACACTACTCACTATATCCCTTTTGTCTTCCATCTTCCAGTTTTGTGATTATTATCTGTTTTTTTTTCTATGATCACTTTTTTGACTCATTTACATCAGATGGTTTCTCCTGGTTCCTAGCTATGTAGGGTAAATGTTTTACTATCCATTTTTCCTTCTTTTCAGCCTACATCTACCATCATATCATTACTCTTACAATGTTCAGGGCATAGTATTTATAATCTGTTCTGTAATCACAATTAAATTGTTCATGCTTTATCTACAGATAGATTCTAAAAGTAAATCTATAAAGTGATTACAGTAAGAACAGAATTGTGATGGTGCCAGAGAAAAAGAAATGTAATCTTCTGGACCATGATAGTGCTCTTTGATGGAGAATATTCAAAATATTAGAGTCAAAAGGAATCTTCATTTATTCATTGACTCACCAAATATTTTATTGAGTCCCTACTATGGGTCAGGCATTGTTCTGGGTACTTTGGATATTTTACTAAAAATGTCCTACCCTCACAGAGCTTAGAGTTTTTTGGGGGGAGACAGACCATAAATAATTTAATAAATAATTGAGTTATACATAGAAGTAGTATGTGCTATGAAAAGAAATTGTAGCTGGGAAGGTATATGAAGGTTTGGAGGCAGTTGTCTAACTTTAGGTCAGTGTGGCCTCATTGAGAAGGTGATATGGGAGCTAAGACCTGAGAGAAAAGGAGATCATGAGTGTGGAGGTTCCAAACAGAAGTTTACCTGGAGTGCAGTGAGGTGGGGAGAGCAATGGGAGAGGTGCAGATTTTATGGAGGCCAGATCAGGTTGAGCTTTGTAGGTCAGAATAGAGTTTACTCCAAGTGAGATGGGAAATTCTTGAAGGGTTTAGAGCAGAAGAGGAACATAATCTGTTCATAATCGATTTCAGAAGGAACCCTCTGATTACTGACTAAGGGGGTGAAATTGGCAGCAGGGAGATTCTTTAGCATACTGTAGCCATGCTTACAGAAGAAGATGGTGGCCAGGACAGTGGGCTAGCAATAGAGGGATTCTGGATCTGTTTTAAAGGTAGAAACAACAGGATGTCATGACAAATTGGATTTGAGTGTGAATAAGAGAGGAGTCAGAACCCAAGTTCTGAGGTGCTTGGGCTGAGCAAGTGGAGGTGGTCTCTATGAAAAGTCACTAAAAATCAGGCACACTGTAATTTGCATCATATTTTTATAGCTTATTTTCCTTGAGTTTCTGATTGCCTTTTTTATATCTTGACAAGGAAGCACATAGCTTTACCTGTAGCTCAGATCAGCCAGATTCTTAGTCTATTAACATAAATTTACTATCTTCTCGAGGACACTCTTGATTGAAGCCTCTTTTTCAGTTTAAGTGATTATTTTCTACACCTGTGGCACTCTTGCTTTGCTGGGATTTCTTTCAATTGCATTCGTTCTACACCAGTTTTATCATTTCTTAGGTTCTATGTATCCCTTCTTCCTGAATTCCCTTGGAGTTTTTTTTTTTTATTTATTATTTATGATAGTCACACACACAGAGAGAGAGAGAGAGAGAGAGAGAGAGAGAGAGGCAGAGACACAGGCAGAGGGATAAGCAGGCTCCATGCACCGGGAGCCCGACGTGGGACTCGATCCCGGGTCTCCAGGATCGCGCCCTGGGCCAAAGGCAGGCGCCAAACCACTGCGCCACCCAGGGATCCCCTCCCTTGAAGTTTTTTATGGTGACTCTTAACCCCTTTTTCACCTTGGGTGTTATGGTACTTCCCTATCAGTGACAGTACTCTTAATAGATACTGGAGCAGTGTTTTTTATGCAGATTCTTAATCTCAAATCCAAAAAATAACGAAAACAGGCTTTTTCTTTCAAAGTGTGGATACAAAACTCATTTGGAAACAAAACATGACCTGAACTTAAAGCTATTTATAGTGATCCCACTTGGGTGAATATTCATTAAGTTTTAAAAATTTTATTTAAATTCAATTAGTTAACATAAAATACATTATTGGTTTCAGAGGTAGAGGTCAGTGATTCATCAGACTTACATAATACCCAGTGCTCATTACATTACATGCCCTCCTTAATGCCCATCATCCAGTTACCCCATCCCTTGACCCTCCTCCCCTCCAGTGACCCTCAATTTGTTTCCTATGTTTAAGTCTCTTATGGTTTGTCTCCCTCTCTGTTCATTTTATTTTTTTCCTCTCTTCCCCAGTGATCCTCTGTTTTGTTTCTTAAATTCCACATATGAGGGAGATCATATGATAATTGTCTTTCTCTGACTGACTTACTTCACTTAGCATAATACCCTGCAGTTCCATGTCATTACAAATGGCAAGATTTTATTTTTTTTGATGGCTGAGTAGTAGTCCATTGTGTGTGTGTGTGTATATACATCTTTATTCATCTGTCGATGGACATCTGGGCTCTTTCCATAGTTTGGCTATTGTAGACATTGCTGCTCTAAACATTGGGGAGCAGGTGCTCCTTTGGATCATTACATTTGTATCTTTGGGGTAAATACTTAGTAGTGCAATTGCTGGGTCATAGGGTAGCTCTATTTTCAACTGTTTGAGGAGCTTCCATATTGTCTTCCAGAGTGGCTTTACCAGCTTGCATTCCCACCAACAGTGAAGAGGATTCCCCTTTCTCTGTGTCCTCACCAACATCTGTCATTTCCTGACTTGTTAATTTTAGCCATTCTGACTGGTGTGAGGTGGTATCTTACTGTAGTTTTGATGTGTATTTCCTAATGCCGAGTGATATGGAACATTTTTTCATGTGTCTGTTGGCCATTTGTATGTCTTCTCTGGAGAAATGTCTGTTCATGTAATCTGCCCATTTCTTGATTGGATTATTCTTTGGGTGTTGAGTGTCATAAGTTCTTTATAGATTTTTGGATGTACTTTTATCTGATGTGTCATTTGCACATTCTGTAGGTTGCCTTTTGATTTTGTCAGATGTTTCCTTTGCTATGCAAAAGCTTTTATTTTATTTTATTTTAATTTATTTTATTTTATTTATTTTTAATTGAAGTTCAATTTGCCAACATATAGTATAACACCCAGTGCTCATCCTGTCACGTGCCTGGGCCTCAGTGCCCATCACCCAGTCATCCCATCCCCCGGCCTGCCTCCCCTTCCACTACACCTTGTTTGTTTCCCGGAGTTAGGAGTCTCATGTTTTGTCACCATCTCTAATTTTTCCCACTCATTTTCCCTCCTTTCCTCCATAGTCCCTTTCACTATTTCTTATATTTCCTGTATCAGTGAAACCATATAATGATTGCCCTTCTCCAATTTACTTACTTCACTCAGCATAATACCCCCCAATTCCATCCACATCAAAGCAAATGGTGGGTATTTGTTGTTTCTAATGGCTGAGTAATATTCCATTGTATATATATATACCACATCTTCTTTATCCATTCATGTTATAGATGGACATCGAGGCTCCTTAATCAAGTCCCAGTAGTTCACTCTTGCCTTTGTTTCCCTTACCTTTGGAGACGTGTCTAACAAGAAGTTGCTGTGGCCAAGGTCAAAGAAGTTGCTGCCGGTGTTCTCTTCTAGGGTTTTGATGGATTCCTGAATATTCATAAGTTTTGCTGCAGAAATAATAATTTCTTCAAGTATAGACTTCACTTGGGCTCTACGTAATATATAATAATATATGCCTCTTAGGTACAGGAAAATGCAAACATCTAAAAAAGTTCTGAATTCTGAAACACGTGGCCCCAAAGGATTTGGATAGAGTTGAGAATATATAGTATTATGTTCTCTGGTAAGTACTTGATGTGCTTTTAAGTGCAGAGCCATGAACTATAACTGTGTGCAAAGCTTGGTACAGGGGTTTGCATAACTCATGGTCCTCCAGACTCTGAGCAGTGCATCAGGCATTTGGGTCTCAACATCTGTAAGAGAAAAGCAATAGCCAAAATATACTGAATTATTCAAAAATCTTTTCTGTTTGGTTTTGTAGTATATTCTGTGTTTGAGGTTCCTCTCCACAGAGTTTCTCTATAGGTGCAAGTTAGACTACCACTGCCTTATATTTGCAGTGCCTCAGTATGTCCTAGCTGATGTGTTGGGGGGCCAGGTAGCATTGTCTGGGGAGTGCACTTGCCTTTTGAGGGCTTGATTATCTTTTAGGCTATTTTCTATGCGTGCCCAATTGAGGCCTTTTTGTTCTTTTGATTTTTTTTTTTTTTTGAGAGTTTCATGAGCTTCTACCTACATCCTCCTTCTACCCTCCCAGCCTGTCCTAAAGCTCCATTAGTACAGAGTCTGTGCTCAGAGATCATGAGATTTTAGACTTATAATTGAGTTCAGCAACACACAAGTAGGCACCTATGTACAGAGGACTTGTGCATGCATTTTACTATTTTACCTTCACAACAAGTTTTAGTAAGTAGGACAGGCATTATTCCTCATTGTATGATGAGAGTATTGGACCAGAGGGATCAGGTGACTTGCCAAAAGCCCCAGAGCTGATGATGGAGCTGGAATTTAGTTTAATTCACTTTCTTTCAAACTGTTTGCAGTAGGGGAGGAAGCAGTGTACTGTACTGAACAGTCTTAAAAACTAAAGGAATCAATTAACAATAATCGTGCCTCAGATAAACCTCATTGGCTACAATACTGCCACTGTGCAAAGCTAAAAACTGAAGGAATCAAACCAATCACCTGTAGTGACTGTTAAAATCTTAGGTTAGGAAGCCTGACTGAGGACCTCTGCATTTGTCACTTTCCCAGATTTTCAGAAAGTCAGAGAATCTACCCTGAGCTCCAGGGAGAAACAGATAGGGTCTGGTAGGCTTCTACAAGAAATCCTAACTTTTGCCCCCTACCCTTAGCCTGCCTGTGTCTCCCCCACGTCCCTCCCTTGGCCCAGCAACGTTTTTCCTCCAGCTGCTTCCATATGCTGCTGAACAAGACCTCAGTCTTGGCAGTGATTCATGGGAAGCGGGTTTAAGAGGCTTATAAACCCTAAGATGACCCCGGGAATCCTTCCCTCAGGGCCTTTATTAACTTGGAAAATAGTCAGTCTCTAAGCAGTGGCCAGAGACAAGTTGGTCTGAAGGTAGAGAGGGTTGGCTAGATAGTGTTGGAGGTCCCAGCCTCTTATTTTTAAGCTACTGAATGGTTCTGTGCAACCAGTGACCCTATGCAGACTCAGATCTGCAGCCACTAGGGGGAGCTTTCCTCTCACTGAAACAAAATATAACTGAGCAGAAATGCCCCAATTATATTAATAGTTAATACCTACCCTGAGCAAGGATGCCAACTTAGGGTCATCTTCATTTGCTAAGCTTGGAGTTTAGGGAGCAAGGCCAATGAGGCACCAGTCTCTTATCCTCACAAGTTTCAAAGAAATTAAAGCATGGGAGTCTGATAGAGATTAAAATAAAAAATAAAGTATGTTATAGAGAGAGCCTTAGATATGCTACCAATTGAGTTTGTTAATACTTGCCTACCAAACTATCCTATTTGAGCGCAGCAGCAGCTGGACAGCCATAGGCTTCCCCACTGAGGCAGCCACACATCTCATAGCAAAAAAGACACATGTGTCCTAAAGACAGACTTCTCAGAAAGGAGCGACAGTTGTAGTGGCTGAGAGCTACAGGACAGTTTCCTTCCGTGTCTCAGACCTTTTGGATAATTCACATATGTACTCCCTCTGCTGGGGATGAAAATGTTCTCCTGTAGGCTTCCCTTCTGGGAGGTGAATGCTCCCTCCCTTTGTGAGTGTATGCTGTAGACTATCCATCTTCCCATGTCCATATTTTTTACCCTTAACATATTGGGCTTGACATTGATATTATGATCCATGGAACTGGGGGTGTGGATATTTCTCTTAGCAGTTTTAACCTTGGTGACACCATGTAAAGCTACTGTCTAGTAATAAACGTAGGTTTGTAGTGTGTTCTCCAGGGACCATTCCCTGGGGAGCTCCCTAGCTTTTCTCCCTAGAGTTTATTTAGTTTCTGCTAAGACCAAGGGGATGGAACTTACTAAGGGAAGCATAGGTAAGACAATAATTGCTCTCACCCAGGCCTTTGTTATATGTTGGTCTTAAGGGTGTCTGTCTCTTGGGAAGGATTATGGAGCTACAGAGAGACTAAAGCATACAAGATTTCTTTGAACAAGGAACACTTTAGGTAGACCTAGACTTGCTGTATTTGAAGCGTCTAGTAAGACCTGGGGACCTTGTTCACTGGGGCTTTCCTCTATTAGGAAATAGTGCTCACTTGTAGACAAGACCATAGTCGTGGCTGTAACTGGCTAAAAAATTTTTAAAGGGTTTTAGATGGGACTATAACCTAAACTATCTATGTAAGCTGAGCCAGAAGCCCCCATTTCTCCATATGGCCCCACAAGGCCATGCCTTGTGACTGTTTCTCAAGGCAGACTCACTAAATAACTTCTGCTGTTTCCTCTTGAATCTGATCCAATTAAGATGTAAGAAACAGGAACCAGACACTTGGAGATCAAATATCAGCTGAGTAGAGAAGGAAACTTAAATCTATGGTGGTGGACTTGCACACAGATCACTCTATCACTCCTGCCATAAAGCTGTCCCACCCAGGTCCAGGGAGCAGGGGGAGGATGCAAGAAGAATGAGCAAGAAGAATGCTCTGGGGTCTCAGGGAGCCCTGTTCTTCCCCCCTCTACTCCCAGATGTTTCATAGGACTGAAGCAAGGTATCAGGGAGAGATCAAATAACCCCTCATGAGAAACAGAAAAATTCTGCTCTCTGGAAAAAAAGAACAAGGACATGGTTTCCTCAAATCTAAGGTTAATTTCAAAGTATCAAAAAAAAATGAAAGGCTATTTTTTATTTTAAAAATACTTTTATACCAGAGTGGAGAACTCCATTTTTTTTTTTTTAAGCATAAGTCCCTGTGTTTTGTCTTAATATTCTGGGCACCCAGCACAGGCCCTGGTAATTATTTGTGGCCTGAATGCTATTTAGAACAAGTTTTTTTAATGTGTGACCTAGTGGTTCCCAGGTTTTTTTGAAAATGTAGGTCAGTAAAATGAAATATAAAAGACAATGAGGCACTGATAACTTTTTATTTTACCATGTGAAGATATTAAATAATAATTGCTACCTCAAACATCACTATAATTTCATAAAGAAACAGTATGTTTTAATATAAAAAAGGTAGGGAGGGATCCCTGGGTGGCGCAGTGGTTTGGCACCTGCCTTTGGCCCAGGGCGCGATCCTGGAGACCCGGGATCGAATCCTACAACGGGCTCCCGGTGCATGGAGCCTGCTTCTCCCTCTGCCTGTGTCTCTGCCTCTCTCTCTCTCTCTCTCTCTCTGTGACTATCATAAATAAATATAAAAATTAAAAAAAAAAGGGAGAACAAAATTCTAGAATAAACTATGAAAGCTGCAGTGTGGCCTTAGATGCACGCATACACGCACATCTAAACAGTGCTTATATTTCTCATTTTGCAGCCAGCCAAGAGAAGCTTGGTCATGGTCTGGTGTTGAAAAGCCCCAGATTCTTCTGGAATGCTGCCCAGACTTGAGAGATGTCTTAAGGGCCACTTAGTGTATTCTCACTCTTTGCTTGTTGTTTTTTCCGAACAGAGCGCTATCAGAAAAGATCGTCTCAGTCCTGCCAAGGATGAAGTGTCCACACCAGCTGGAGCCCCACCAGATCCAGGGCATGGATTTTATTCATATATTTCCTGTTGTTCAGGTGAGAGCCTTTATGTGATTTCTTGTCCTCTGCACATCAGAATTCCTACATGGTCTGGCTCTCAGGCCATCTGGCCTAGATCCTGGATCTGATGGGTGTGGTATGGAATTGGTGGAGCAGGACATGATTGTGCTTCCTGATGTCATCCTCAGAAGGTTGCCAGTACTCCATCTCTTCTGCCCTAGTTTCACTGTCACTTTCACCGTCACCTATTGTGGTCTTTGAATGTTCCCATTAATTGGTTTTCATTCCCCTTTTGGTAAAGATAGAACCCTATAGCCCCCCCATGGGGACCTGTCCCAGCTATCCAGCCTAACTTTATTCCTTGTTCTTTCTGTTCTAGCCCCTCTGACTTTCCCTCAGATTTTTTTCATACATATTATGCTTCCTCCTATCATGGGGCCTTTCCTTCAGGCTGGAAAGCTCTTCCCTTTCTCTCCTTACCTACTTAATCCATATTCATCTTTCAGATCTCAATTCTACCAAACCTCTTCAAGAGAGCTTCCATTAGGGACGCCTGGGTGGCTCAGCAGTTGAGCATCTGCCTTTGGCCCAGGGCGTGATCCCCACATCCTGGGATCGAGTCCCACGTCGGGCTTCCTGCATGGAGCCTGCTTCTCCCTCTGCCTGTGTCTCTGCCTCTCTCTGTGTGTCTCTCATGAATAAATAAATTAAAAAAAAAAAAAAAGCTTCCATTAGCCACCTCCCCCGCCCCCAATCTAGAACAGGTTCCTTTGCTATATACACTCATATTGGCCACATTCCTTTCCTTTGTAGGGATCTTCCTTGCTGCAGTTTGTAACCATGTGTATCTGTCTGGTCACTTCTGTCCTACCTGTCAGACCTTCTCAAGCTTCTTGGTGGCAGGCACCATAGTTGCCTTGCTCACTGTAGTGTCTCCAGCACCTTGTGGAATATCTGGCACTGTGTAGGCAGTTAGTCTTTATTTGATGACTAGATGTCTGATGTGAGGTCATTTCCACCCTGGCTGTTTTCCAAGGCTCTGTGATTAAGTGGCTCATGCTGTACAGCCTCCTACAACCTTGTGGTCTGTTGTCTCAGCTTCTTCTGGGCACTTTGAAAAGAGGAGGAGCAAAGAGCCTGCTGTATCAACAGCACTTTGCAAATGATCTTAATAGAGTTCTTTGAAGCCTTGATTTTAATCCCAGTCCTTATGTATGAGGAAAGTGAGATGCAAAGAAAGTAATTCATTTGCTGAAGGGCAGAGAACTGGTGTGCAGACAAGATTCCAGTCTAAACTCCTTGTCACTAAACCTACTTTTCTCACCGTGCCACTCATGCAATTTGTGCTTGAAGTCTTCCAATCCTGCATTAAGATTAGGTAGCACAGGGTTTGAGAGCACACACTCAAGAGGCTTCCTGGGTTCAGATCCTGGCTCTGCCACTTAGTTGCATAACCTTATGACCCACAAGGTCATAACTTAGTTTCATGACTCAAATGACTTAACTTTTCATCTGTTAAATAGAAACAGTAATAGCACCTACCTGACAAGATGAGAATTAAGTACATTAATATGTATAAAGCACTTAGCTGAAGCACCAGCCCATTTTAGTAAGTACTTTCTAACTGTTCAGTGGTCCTTTCTGGTTTTGTTACTGTTATAGTGGACTTTCCCCTGCACTGGACTTTCAGTCAAATCCCATGAAATTTGTAAATCGGAAGCTAAGACTTTAACTCGGAATTTAATTTGTTAGGTCCATTAGACTTTCTGTATCCAATGCAAGGGGTGAGGGGGGATCTCCTGATCCCTTGTGTGAAAACAGGAAATAAGGACCCCATGCTGATTATTACTGAAACTTCCACCACTACCACACTGTGAAGTTATTGGCTTTTCCCCCAAAGCCTGAAGGTCTAGTTATTAGACCTTACTCGGCCCTATGGTAGAACTTTGAGAGCAAAAGAATGTGGTCCAGATAGATGATGAAAGGGAAGTGATCTGTTACTGGTTTGGGCATTTTGAATGTCTGTTCTGGGTTGTACATGGAATGCCAGAGGGCTTCTGGTATAGATGTGAGAATATAGGTTACCAGATTTCTTGATTTCATGGATCCATAAAATTTTAAAGCAAAAATGGAGGTTGACCTATGGTTGCCACCTATATTTTGCCAGGCAAGAACATCTTTTAAAAGTAACAACTAGGGGATCCCTGGGTGGCGCAGCGGTTTAGCGCCTGCCTTTGGCCCAGGGCGTGATCCTGGAGACCCAGGATCGAATCCCACGTCGGGCTCCCGGTGCATGGAGCCTGCTTCTCCCTCTGCCTATGTCTCTGCCTCTCTCTCTCTCTCTCTCTCTGTGACTATCATAAATAAATAAAAATTAAAATATATATATATATAAAAAATTAAAAAATAAATAAATAAAAGTAACAACTATCAAAACAAACACTTAAGTACAGTGAATAAACTGGTGGTTGCAGAGGGACTGTAGGGGAGGCTTGGGCAAAATAGGTGAAAGGAATAATAAAGAGGTACCAGCTTCCAGCTATAAAATAAATAAGTCACAGACGTGAAAGTGAAAAGTACAGCATAGGAAATATAGTCAGTACTATTGTGATAACACTGTGTGGTGACAGATGGTGACTGCATTTATCATGGTGAGCACTGAGTAATGTATAGAATTGTTGAATCATTATGTTGTATACCTGAAACAAATATAACATTGTACATCAATTATACTTCAATAAAAAATATTTTTTTAAGTAACAACTATCTTTCTCTGTCATTTCCTAAAAGAAAGACCTTTTAACTCTCAATCTCAGAATAAAAGACAGTCCTTCAAATGGAATACTTGAAAATATTATGAAAAAACTAACCATGTGCTTGACATTTTTTGCCTGTTTCACTGGAGACCGGTGAAAGAGCAGTGGTCAAGCTAGTGGTCTTGAGTGACTCTAGAGGTTCACCACCTTCATTCACACTGTTTAGCACAGCTGTAGTTACACTCCGATTGCTAACCCAGAGAAAAATGGTTCTAACTTCCAGCCCCAGTAGTTCCAGGTCACATCTTTTTCTCCCATGCCAGACACATGAATCCTGTGATGGCAGGTATTTTTCTTGAGTGCTAGGCACCCAGGGCAGAGTTTGGCTGTCCAAGAAGTTCTCTCCACAGCCCTTCTCTCTAGGAACTCCAAAATAGTGACTGATTCTCCAAATCCTGAGACTCCGTATCTTCCTTATCTGATTACACTCACCAGGATCTGGCAAAGTAACAACTCAGTGTAGATCTAATTCATGGAGGAACATTTGAAAGAGAAACAACTTTGAAGGTCCAGAAACTGGATCTCCCCATCCAAAAGGAAAGTAGAAAGAAATTGAGTTGAGCAAGGAGTCTGCCTCCTTAATTGTTCGGGGCCATGATGCTGGGTGGGGTGCAGGAGAGCGGCTACAGAAGCTCTGAACATTGTCTGATCTTCTGCCCCTGCTTCTGAGTTTTAGTGCCTGGGGTCATTGTTTGGAGGTGGGGTGGAGTAGAGTGATAGAAATAAATAGAAGATAATAATACAAGAATATTCCTCATAGTTATTTGCAAGCACCCCCCATCTTGGGCAGCTGCTTTCCAAACATGTCCTTACTTGAGCTGGCTGCCCTCTGTGAGCAAGCATTCTGTCCATCCCTGCAGGAGCACAATGCCATATGCCATGTGTCTGCTTGCCTACATAGCTAAACCTTGCCAGGTGTGTTGCGCTCCTGGGGAAATACAACTACTATCCACAGACTGCTTCCGAGTTGTAGTAGGTCTCTCGGGACAGAGGATGGCGACTCCGACAGATGGCCTCCCCCTGTATGATGCTCTTTAGTTATAAAACAAGGAGTGAATGAAAAGCCAGGGATGAAAAACAAAGGCTGTGTTTTTGTATTTTACAATCTTACTCTCAGAGTACCTAGATCTTCCACAGGTTATGGGGTTGGGAGTGTGTCTTTGTGTTGTAATTAACAGGAAGTATAAGTAGAGAGCAATGAAGAACAGCTACTTTGCATATCGGCCCAGTAAAGCTGGAAAACATTTAATAAAATCTGTATGTCCAGTCTTTTGGTATGGAAGAGCCTCTGAGTTGTGACTCAGCCTTCGCTTGCTACCTATAGAACAATGAACAGATGATATAGTCTCTTTGAGCTTCAGGTTCTATACGACGTGGCCAGTACTTACAATGTTGTGTGGGTTAAGAGAACAAATGCTGTGAGTACCTGGCTTACTTGAAGCCCAGGGCTGGGTACTCAGCAAACCTGTTCTCCAATCAGAATATTTGGGGATTGTTTGTTTGGGGATTGTTTCAGCCAATGAAACAAGAGGTTCTCTGAAGTCCTTCCCTTTCCCTGGTCTGTGGTGCAGGCAGCACTATCCCATTGGATCTTAGCTTCTCAGATGCCCAACTAGCTGCTCTTCACCTAGGACAGTACACATGGACAGTTTCTCATCACCTGGTCGGTTCAAGGATAGTGATTGGGGTTCACAAATTGTACTAACTCCAAGTTGGCCTTTACCACAGTGGTGTTACATCCCTGTCCTCACATTTCCTTTTTTTTTTTTTTAATTTATTTATGATAGTTAGAGAGAGAGAGAGAGAGGCAGAGACATAGGCAGAGGGAGAAGCAGGCTCCATGCACCGGGAGCCCGATGTGGGATTCAATCCTGGGTCTCCAGGATCGCGCCCTGGGCCAAAGGCAGGCGCCAAACCGCTGCGCCACCCAGGGATCCCTGTCCTCACATTTCCTAACTTTCTTTCCCAGTGGCTGGTGAAGCGAGCTATAGAAACAAAGGAAGAGATGGGCGACTACATCCGCTCCTATTCCATATCCCAGTTCCAGAAAACCTACAGTCTCCCTGAGGTCAGTATCTTCCTTCCTTTTCTCGTCCGACTGAGAACACGTGCGTACATGTAGAGACTCCCCAGGAAGGAGCAGAGTAAGCTCAAGTTCTTCTGCATGACATCTCTGCCCCTACCTGGCCAGCATTGACAGTGGGCATCCTGGTTTGTAAGAACTGCCTCTTTAAATGGGTACTGGGTGTCAAGTCCTGCAATTTCATCCTTTTCTCTCGCTTTTAGGACTTGATTCAGAACTTTTATTAAATTATAAGAATATGAGTATATTTCATTAAGAGTACATATAAAGCTCTTCAAGAGACCACCTAGGTCGTTGCCTAGGGGATTCCTGTAGTAACAGTTTCATAGTAACCACCCCCGACACACACAGTAATAACAACTGATACCTATTGAATAATACTTAACTACACTAAGTCCCAGCGCATCACATGCCTTCTTTTTAATTTTCACAACTGCTCCCTGACGTAGGTGGTGGTGTCCCCATTTACAGACAGTGAAACTGAGGCTTAGAGGCTAGGTAGCTTGCCCTGGGTATCAGAGCTCATAAGGATTTGAACGAGAATACTTGTCTTCACCAATACACTCTGGGGTCCCCCTCTTTCTTACCACCTTGGGATCTGTTTGGCCATAGCTTCTTCCCATGCATAATATATCCCAATTTGTTAGAAGATTGAGGCTTCTCCAGGCAGAGCTGTGATGAGAAATCAATTTGTAAGACAGGTTTCTGAGAAGTCCGGTTGAGTTTCACTCTTCACAAAGGGTTTGTTTAATCCCTGTGTTTTGTCTTGCAGGATGATGACTTCATAAAGAGGAAAGAAAAGGCCATCAAGACAGTCGTTGATCTTTCAGTAAGTTCCCCTGTCCTTGTGTAAGGGTAGAACATAGGTTCCTAGCCTCCAAATAGCCCTGTGGTTCAAATTCCAAAACCCTTGCCCAGTCCCTCCTGGGATTGCCCAGTGCTGACCTCAGGTGGTTGTGTGAGAGAAACCCTGTCTACCTCAGTGCCCATATCTGGACACCAGCATTCACAGGTAGAAAATGCCACAATCATGGCCCTGGGTTTTTCTTAGTTTGAAATTTACAGGAGAAATTTTCCAAATCCAAAGTCTTTCCTCATTTGTGCTACTGGCAGGTATAAACTTTGAATAGCTTCAAAGAGTAGATGATGAACTAGAGGTGGTAAATTGAGGTTAGCACCCCTTGATGGCTTTGGAGAGGCACAGCAGCTCCTGAACTTTATGTGGGACACATTAGGAGGGCCTTGGTCATCACATACTGTGTATCTTAACCATGGGGCCTGCACTTATGCACCCACTCCACCAGTGCAAGGGTCAGAGGAGAGCTTTTCAAACCTTTCTGGGCCAGAGTCCAGCAGAAACTTATCAGTGCCCCATATCCCACCCCACCCAAGCCTTCCTACCTGAGCTGCTGGGAATGAAGCCACAGTGCTTGGGTGTAACTTCACTTTCTTCCAAAAATAATGCGTGGTGGTATTTTGCTTTTTTTTTTTCTACTTGAAGAATAAATGTGTGGTCTTCAAAGGTGGTCACTCTAAAAAGATTAACAATCATTTGATGACATAAAGCACTCATTTAAAACAAGAAAGTCTTTGTTACTTTATAATTGTAATTTGTATCTTTTTCACAATTTCCTTTTGGAAGTGGAAGGAGTGGAAAACTTTCAAGACAGTTACACTCTGAAGCCAGATACCATTTTCAGGCTTGGTGGTAGTATTAAATAATAACAAGACATGATAGGATATCAGAGTAATTTTTCCCTCTGGTTATGCAATAGCTGTTCCTTTGAGACATTCTTAAAGTTTTTTGTCTTTTTTTAAAGGTTGATAAATTCAGAGGAAGAGAATCAACCTTAACCTCACAGCACAGAAGCAGCTCCTTTTGCTGCTTGGACATATTTCTTTGATGCTTTTTTTATACCAAATTGGTGTTATATTTTAAATGTAATTCTGTGGGGCTTTTTTTTAACTTACCAATATAGAGTCTTTGTAAACTATGGAAGATTCCTCCTAACTGCATTTACCATGAAAAATAATAACCAATTTGTTGGATTTACCCTTATTTTAAATGATACTTCATTTTTCAAAAGCTAGAGAACCAGTCAGACAGCATTACCTCTCATCCAGGGAACTGGGGAGCCCAGGGCAGGAGAGGAAGTGAATGAAATTCCCTTTTCCCTTTAAAGCCTGTACTATTTGAATTTTATACCACGTCTGTGTGTTACTTATTCCAAAGCAGTAAACAAAAGTATGATTTTCTAAATGCTTAATTGAATATCTGCCTGTGTAAATCTCACTGTTAGCCCTGAGTAGAGAATGAGAAACAGTAATTTTCATCTTTATCACCAGGAAGAAAAGGCTAGCATACTTGTCAGCAATCTTATCAATGAAACTAGGCCTGGCATCTCCATACCCATTAAACATTTCAGGCCTCTAGCGACACATTCTTTCTTCTTATTATTTGTAATGGAGTTCTTAAAGAAAATTCTCCTCTTCTGCTTGGTAATGTGACCTAATAGGATTTAAGGAGGTAAATGATAATGACAAATACATGGTGCCCAGACATTGTGGTAAGCATTTATGTATACCTTACCTAGTCCTCAAAAGAATCTTCTGAAATAGTAGTATTTTTTTCTTTTTTTTTTTTTTACAGGTGAGGAAACTCAAGCACAGATAGGTTATGTAAGTTGCCCAAGATCACATTAGTGATGATGGAGCCAGGATGCAAACCAGTCTTGTAACTACTACCCTGTGGGCATCTAGATAAAATGCTATTTGCAGCTAATTAGGAAATAATATCAAGATAAGGGAAAATTAGCAAATCTCTTAGTTCAGATGTTTAGTTTATTTCCCTTTTTTATGTGTGAACTTACTTCTCAGTTGACTGTCAATATATTTGTAGCAGGAATGATAAAGAATTTTGATGGATGGCCAGAGCTGACCTATGGGTTTCATTTGTTTTCCTCTTTCTCTTTCAACTGAAAATACCCCTCACTTCCAGATGCTATCTTCTTAGGTTTCTTAACTACACTGCCATGAACTTCCCTCCCTCCCACCCACCACTTCTGCAATTGCTTCCTGGCTTCCTTGCCTTGGCATGAGAGCTCCAGAAGCTTACAAGAGACTCCAGGGCTGTAGTGCATGTCCCTAGCTTATCCTTTTGAGTCATGTAAGGAATGGAACCACTGGCTGTTTTTCATTCGTCAGCGGTCTCGCCAAGGGAAATCTGACCCTTAGTGAAGGGAGTGAAGCCTTTCCTCCACTGCCAGGCTCTTTGTACATCTCAGATTCTGAAGGGTATTTCCCTCTCCTTCCACCTTTTACCCAGCTCTGCCCTTTACATGCCTCATCAGTGTTTCTTGCCTGTTCCTTATTTTTTTTTAAAGATTTTATTTATTCATGAGAGAGAGAGAGAGAGAGAGAGGCAGGCAGAGACACAAGCAGAGGGAAAAGCAGGCTCCATGCAGGGAGCCCGATGTGGGACTCGATTCCAGGACTCCAGGATCATGCCCTGGGCCAAGGCAGGCACTAAACCACTGAGCCACCCAGGGATCCCCTTGCCTGTTTCTTATTGATGAATCTGGAATCCCAGACTTAAATTGTATGAATGGTAAATTAAGGATTCAAATAAGGTCACACAACAGGTGCCTAATTTCTGGACCCCAGCCTTTTATAAAATACACCCATAGCTGCCATGTCCTGATTGATGGCCTTTCGTGTGTTTGGCACCTGATTAGGCATCTTGCAAGCATCATCTCATTACTTCTTCACCAACACTCAGGGAGTTATATGTTATTATTATTTCTATTTTATAAATCAGAAAGTTGAAGCCAGAAAGATCAACAAATTCCCTACATACTTACAGGACAGGAAGAGGCAGCCAGGTTTTGATTTTACATGGCACTCCTCAAACATGACAGGTGTGATGCTTCTCTGGTTTCCTCTCTTCGCCTTGACTCTGATTTCCCACATATTCCTGGTGCCAGTTTTACAACAATGTTTCTGACTTATTTCAGGACTCTGAGATATTATTCATCCAGATCCCAGTGACACAGATTTATCCAGAGTGGCTGGGTGCTCTCCTGCTACCTCTTGAGTCCCCTGTAGGGGCGTTTACTGTGACATATGTCCAGCTAGAGAATGTCTGCAAAGTGGAGACTATCATGTTGTCTTTCTTCATCTATGAGCATAATACTTTCGTGCCTCAACCAGCAGGCTTTTACTCATTCTTGCTTATTTAGAACCTTTTCTTAAAAAATAAATATTTAACCTTTTAATATTTTTCAAAATATTTAGCTTATTCTTTTCCTTAACCATCTTTACTGGATTGTTCCCATCTTTTGCATTTGGCCTTAGTTATGTAGCTCAGCCATTTTTGGTGCTTGATTTTTTGTTTTAAAAAAGGTTGTACTTATTTTGTACTAGTATCTTAGTAATAATAATAAAAAAATTAAGAAATGGGAAAAAATTAGTAAAGACTAAGTCAACATGATACAACCAGTCAGGATATGGGTACTGATATATATTCCAAGCAGAAAATACAATGTTTGGGATATCAATACAGAGAATTAGAGATCTCTAAAAATGTCATTCTACTGTATGTTTTGTTTTTTGCTCAACAATATAATTGAGGATATCTTTCCATGCCAATAAATATACTTCCATAGCATTTTTACTGGCTGTAGATTATTCATTGTGTGGTACTAATTTACCTAGCTTACTTTGTATCTTTTTTTTTTCTTTTGGTTATGTAGGACATTCTCCTAGCTAATTTTTTCCTTGTATCTTTATTTATTTAGGAAACGTTCCACAAAATGGAATTGGGTCAGAGGTTATGCCTAAGGCTGTTAATGCCTCTTGGCAGATTGTCAGAAAACCTGCCGTGAACTTGAATTCCTGAGCTCATCACTTTGGGGTTCTCTCTTCATCTTGCCCTCATTTTTCTTCTTAGGGATTATCCCTAGTACTTCAGCTTTCTTCTTGAAATGTTACTTCTTGGCTTCTCCATACTTCCTCTTTACAGAATAGCTAGCTGCTTTGTAGAAGGCCTGCTGACAGGAGGTATATTTCAAAGCACATAAGAAGCCAAACCTATTGCCACCCAGGACAGGTCATCCCTTACCACCTTCTCCTTTTTGTGTCATCACATAATCGCTTATTTGTCTCACTTAGTGTGCAGTTGTACAACTTCCTTCCTCCTTGTCTGAGCTGTCATCCTTCATATTCTTCAAGTATCTGTCCTATGCCGTGAGGTCTGTTACTCCCTGTTAACCTTGAGTAAAGAGTAGCTGTGAAATTTTATCCAAAGCTCCAAAAAATACTGCTTACTATTCATTGAACATTTTTGGATAATATTTAGAATTTTGTATGAAAATAGAGGGAATGAGAGAAAAAAGAACTCAGAGCTGCCAGTCTAGTTGAAAAAAAAAATGCTTTGCAGAACTTATTGATCCCCTCAGAGACCACGGCATTTGAAATTATTACTCTAGTGTGTTCTTCACAGGAAATGCTATGAGGGGGCAGCCCCCGTGGCGCAGCGGTTTAGCGCCGCCTGCAGCCCAGGGTGTGATCCTGGAGACCTGGGATTGAGTACCACGTCAGGCTCCCTGCATGGAGCCTGCTTCTTCCTCTGCCTGTGTCTCTGCCTCTCTCTCTCTCTCTCTCTCTCTCTCTCTGAATAAACAAATAAATAAATAATATTAAAAAAAAGAAATGCTATGAGGAAGTCTTTTTCATTCAGCACATAGAATACAAATATGGCTATATACATAAAATAAAATTAGTACATTTTATCAATAATAATATATATACATATCTATATTAAAATATATATATCCTAGAGGTGGCTCAGTCAGTTAAATGTTCAATTCCTGATTTTGGCTCAGGGTTTCTCCCTCTCTTTCTGCTGCTTCCCTCCTCAGAAAACATGTATATCTATCTATCTTAGATATATGTATCTCTCTTAACCTTTACTGTGTGTCAGATATTGCTAAATAATTAATCCTCACAGTAACTCTGCTTATACCTTTTTTTTACAGATGGAAAGTCACATAGGTTAAAGTAACCTGCCCCAAATCAGACAGGTAGTAAGTTATGGGGTTAGGACTAAAACCTCGGTCGTCCATGCATTCTTTCAGTAATATTAATTGCACTCTCGCTGTGCCAGATTGCACTCTAGGAGGTGAGGTAAGAGCAGTGACATTCCATCAATAGGGGAGTTTCATGGGAATTTGGGGGTCTCATCAAGGAGAAGATGTGGTCACAAGGGGGCAGCAGCATACATAGACTTTATTTGGGTGATGCTTTGACAGGTTTGCTTGTAGGATGGTGCAGTCCCTCACAGCAGCCACCATCCAGAGTTTTAGGCATCAGGGCTGCATCCAGAAGAGGGGACCAAGAGAACCCCTACCCCCTGGGAGGGTCCTGGAGATTGTTCGTGTGCCTCGGTGATGTCACTCAGCAACAATACAGAGAATCTCTAAGTCAGAGATCTCTGACGGGCAGCAGCAGTTTTGGGTCTTTACAGTCTCGGCTTATCCTGTCTATGGTTAGCAAGTACAGTTTTGCAGAGTAGTATGCAACATAGGCTGTAAGTGGCTAAAAATCTGCCTACTGGAGCCATGTTTAAGGCAACCTGGTGTGTAAAAATTTGAGTTTGGTACTGGCACACTTTTGAGTCAGTGTGTCTCAGCCTGCTGTGAAGAAATAAACCTAAGAGCCAAGGTGCAGAAGCTATCTTCGGCTCCATTATTTGATAGAGTGACCTTAGTCTTACTGAAGAGCCCTGAGGTGGGATGTGTGCTGGTCCTGAAGGAGTAGAACAGAGCTCATGTGAAAGAGAATAGAAAAGGAACAAAGTCTGAAGAAAACTCTACCTCCTCAGCTAACTTTCCTCCCTGCAGACACATTCCTCTCTCCAGAAATGGTCACCATCCATTGGTCTCCCATTTCCTTCACTTAGTACCCAGGGACTTTGTTTCATTCGTTGTTTTATTAGCATGAGAATGAAAAAAAAGCAAATGTATTTGTCTCAGTTATAATAACTTCTTCCTATGAGATCTTTCAGGACATCACTCTTGGTAGTGGAGACATCTGTGGAGCTCCATTAGGTGCAGCAGAGTTAGCTCATTGGGATTCTGGGCTGAGGTGTGTCTGAGAGTTGAGCCCTGAGAGAGTGTTTTAAGGTCAGTGAAGACAAGTCAGAGGAATGTCACTTCCTGCTGACCTGAGTGTGGCCTGACCCCCTGAATCTTTGAGCCATAGAATGCCAAGTTGGTGGTGGCTTTCTCACTGCCTGCTCATTGTTTCGTAAAAGAGGTACCCACCATAATTGTGATCAGTGTTTGCTACAGATACTGCCCTGGTGCTGTGCTCTTCACTTCTCTTCCCTGCAGTTTGAAATGTGACTCAGGAATTACTCTAACCAGTGACTTGTAGCCTAATCTATAAGGTAGAACTCTGTGACGCTATGGTGCAAGAGCTCTGCTTTACAAAAGAGGCACTTTAATATTTTACCCCTGCTCATGTGTCCTTTAGCACAGAGAACAAGACACTGTTCAAGGGCTGTTAGTCCAGCCTGGTTTTACAGATAAGGAAACAAGCCCATTGAAGGGAATCCCCAAAGTCACAGAGCTAGTTAATGGCAGAGACCAGACTAGACATCAGTGTCCCTGATTCCTATTGCTTTAAAGGGTGACTTAACAATAGTTCTTAAAGTTGTCCTGAAAACCTCTGACATGTAGGTTCTTATTACTTAAGCAAACCACTGTAATGCTCCATGTGGCAGCCTCAGGTATATAGCAGTCTCATAAGAAGACTCTTTTGAGATGGCTGGAGGTTGGTGACAATGCCCACCAGAAACAAGTCAGTGTATTAGAAAAACCTTGGGGACCTAAGGCCAGGCCTAATACTATTTTAGAGATCCTGAAAAATTATTTAATTTCTGCGTCTTCAGTAGTAAAGTGGGGATAATAGCATTTGCCTTGTCTCTGCCTCTTGGAGCAGTTATATAATGCAAAAGTGAGGTGCATATATGAGGTGCTTTTAAGTATAAGGAATAATTACACAAAGGCCAATGTTGTCACTGTTTGGCAGAATAAAAGTTCCTTGTAGCTATTGGTTTCAGTATGCTATTGTTTTGGAGTCAGTTCTTTTTTTAGAAGAATCCAATTTCCTGTCTTGGGTCATTGACTCTATCAGTGGTAACTAAGGAAGATAGCAGTTAAGCTCAATTATACAGTACTGCGATAATAGTGGAGCTCAGTAAGAATTAAATCATATGCACTAACTGACGTCATGTGGATTCATTATATGTTGCATTTCCCCATAAATCTGTTTTATGTTATTTATAGCTTCCTATTTATGTAGACACCAGCAGCAAACTAAGAATTATTTCTGGCAGCAAGTTATAAGAACAATACTCCAACGTCATCCCAGACCCTAGTCCATTCCTTTTGTTTTGTTTTTGTTTTTTTTTTACAAAATTATTAAGATTACATAGTATGTGTTACAAAAGGATGTTTTTCTCTATGTTTGAAACTTTTCATAATAAAAAGTAAAATAATAGAGTTAACCAGGATTTTCAAGGGAGTTACATTTCTAATTGGAATAAGAATACCACTATCTGAAGAAACCTGATAATAGTTCTTGTCATAGTGATGTCCACATAGAGGTTAGTTATGATGAACTCTGCTAGTGGAGAAGAAAAGATCCAGGAACAAACAGCTGGAATACCTTCCTTGCACAAATATTTACCTACTTGCACTCAGAGCCCTGAGCTTGTTTTACTAAGATATTATTTGACTGCATTTGACTGCCAGCTTGATACTCAAGAAGGACATTCATTTAGGGCAGAATGCTAAATCAGATCATCTGGGGATGAGGCCCACATTAATTGAGCACCTACGGACATGTAGATATAGAAATAGATACATAGTTTCAGAATGTATCCTATACCAAAGATATCTATGTTTGCTTCTACATTTATAATTAAATCCTACTCTAGTGATTTAAAAAGTCAGTGAAAGCTGATAGAGCATTTTGTATTTTTATATACTTTTGTTAAAAAGATAGTATTGCTGAAGGGTTTGTATCTACTCTTCTTTTTTGCTATTAGAGTCTAAGAATTGAAATCTCCTTTCCCATTTAAGGAATTTTTTTTTCTGGATTCTTGGTTAACCTATATACCTGTGGTTGTTGAATTGTTTTGTGGAAACAGTGGTGGAAAGGTCTGGATATGCAGTGACTAGATAATTTGTTTTTTTCTGGAAATTATTAAAGAAGTTTAAAAAGATATGAATAGAGAGATAAACCTTGCTTCTCAAGGCAAGATTCAGTATTATAAATTTGCCAGTTCTTTCCAAAATAATCTATAAATTTGGTGTGATTCTAATCAAAACTCAACAGTTATTTATTATGAACTTGACAAGTTGATACTAGAATTCATTTGGAAGAGAGATGTTTAACAATAGCCAGGAATTTGAGAAAGAACAGTGGAGACAGGATAAAGGTTCATAAATCAAGAGGAGTTGAAAAGGGTAACATTGGTACATGTTATATACATGTGTGCCATTTCAGATCAGGGAAGGCTGGACTATTAAATTGATGATGTCAGGATTCCTAATTTTCCATTTAGTTGAAAAAGCCTCTACATAGATTAAAAAGCTAAATATAACCTATACAAGTAACATACAAGAACTTTTTTAAAAATAATCCCTGGTAATAAGTAAGATATAAAATGATTGGTAAGTTTGACCATGTAAAATATCAAAATGCCATAGGACAAAAGAAACACCAAGTGGGGGCTGAGTGGCTCAGTCGGTTGAGTGTCTAGTCAGGTCATGATCTCAGGGTCGTGGGAATGAGCCTTGTGTTGGGCTCCATGCTGAGTGTCTGCTTGAGATTCTCCCTCTCCCTTTGTCCCCTGCTCCTCCCCCCATGCTCCCTCCTTTCTCCTTCTAAAAATAAATGCATAAATCTTTTAAAGAAAAAGGAAACACCAAGTTAAAATGAACTTGGCAAGCAATATCTTTTTTTCTTTTAAAGATACTATTTATTTATTCATGAGAGACACAGGGGGGCGGGAGGAGAGACACAGGCAGAGAGAGAAGCAGGCTCCATGCAGGAAGCCCAACGTTGAGACTCGATCCTGGGTCTCCAGGATCACACCCCGGGCCGAAGGCAGCACTAAACCGCTGACCCACCTGGGCTGCGCAACAAGCAATATCTTGAGTGGAAATATTTGCTACATATATGAATGTCAAAGGAGCAGACTCCTTAGAGGCAACCACCCTGAGTGCCCACTGTTCTCCTGCGGGAGGGGGGTACGCTTGCCACGATGGGGAAAGACTTGTTCACCTGACTGGCTGGATGCACCCAGCAGGCAGTTCAGGAAGACAGCATTCTCACACTCAGTAAGTCATCTGTCTCATCCACTTCTTAGGATGTCTACAAGCCCCGTCGGAAATACAAACGCCAACAGGGAGCAGAAGAGCTGCTTGATGAAGAATCTCGAGTCCATGCAACGCTTTTGGAATATGGCAGGTAAGGAAGGGGATACTCAGTCTGAAGTGCCTAATTTATAAAACCATTGAAAAGAAAAGCTCATTTGGATTGCTTCATTGAGATTAATTTGGTTGGCTTTTACCTGACTGAGTTCATGGTTTTTGGAGAGATTTCCATCCCAGGGACTTTTCTCTCTGGGACTGACTGACCCACATTTCTGTGGGTAGCTTCCCTGATGATGGTGGAGGCCTGATCTTGGCAGTTCCCTTCTGGAAATGTGTGTGTAACTGTGCACCTTGGCTCTGTCCTCCTGAGGAGTTGGGGTGTTTGGGGTATTTGCAGAGGCCAGGGGCCATCTCTCCTTCATTCCCCTGCCCTTCTTTAAAATCTTTAGGTAAACTACAGACTCGAAAACAGTTACGGTAGTTTTACTTTGAGTGTTAGAATAATAGTTTTGGTTTCCCGTGAGGAATTGTCCTGAACAGGAAGATGAAGAATTTAGAAGTATTTTGTCACTTCTTAATACCCTTTAAAATTTTTTTTTAAAAAACAGTTCACTTTTATCCTCATTTTTTACTGAAAAAGCACTCAAAGAAGTGTCCTTCTTTGTGTCTTCTGTTCTCATTGAATTTCTTGGTTGACCTTAGGTATTAACCTTCATTTATGTCCTGCATTTTTCTACCTAGGGTAATTGATTCCTTGATGTGAGTATGTCTCCTTGTGCTTCCTTTGTGTATCCTGAGAGTGGTTGCTGTGTGCTGCTCTGCCTCAGAACCCAGCCCTCCTTGGGTGGCTGGGACTAACAGCTCTGCCTCCAGCACCTCCCTGAGTGAGCATCTGACAGCTTCCCAATCTAGGGCACTAGAGAGAACCAGAAGGAAATTAGGCTTCATTGGCTTAAATATTCCATATTTGAATCGGGAAAAATTTTTTTAAAAACTTGCCACATTTTTTTTTTTCTTTCTGCTTTTTGAAAGGGATGTGTGTGGCGTCAGGTCCGTCCTTCCTAAGAATGAAAGCTAGTCTGTCTCAAAGGTGTGAGTTCCGGCCCTATGCCAGGTATGATGGCTACCCCACAACTCACCAATTACTTCTGTGAATTGAATTCCTTTTCTGAGTCAGGCACTACCAGACCATCTACGTAATTTCTGGAGCCCAGTATAAAACAAAAATGCAGAGCCCCTTGCTAAGAATTATTACTAATGATAATTATTAAGAATTTCAAGACAGCAACAACAACCAGATGTGAGGCCCTTCTGAATGCTGGGCCCTGACCAAATGGACAGGTTGCATGCCCTGGGCACTGTGATTGGGTTTCCCAACCAAGCCCCAGTTGGAGGTAGGCAGGTAAGGCCACGCTGCTCTGGGTGAGCCAAAGTTGAAGAGACAACTCCCTGAGTGTCACATGTTCCAGAGCCAAAGAATACTCAGGGGAATGTTGTGCTTTTCTTAGTTTGTATTGTTCATACCTCCATTTTTTCCATTGTCATGGATACTCAAACATTCACTCCTGGGGGTGAAAAGGAATCAGAGATTCAGTGAATTGTCCACCTCACAGAGACCAGGCTGACAGTACTTTCCTCTTGTTTTGAAATTCTCAGTTTTAAACTGGCTCTTAAAAAAAAAAAATAACTGGCTCTTTTGCATGTGTTGTAGAGAGCAGTCATTATTGTCATTTGATGGCTGGGTAACTTCAGGACATCTCTGCTCATCATCAGGAGTGGTTGGTGCAGTTTGAGTCCAGAGTCTGGGGCTTTCTTTATGGAAGGGAGCAATGCTCAGATTTTCTTCAAGACTCCTCTCAAATTTGAAGTATAAGAAAGAGCAGAGTGTGTCAGTGTCAGTCTTGGTTCCTATTGGTGGGGTAGGCTGACTTCTACTGAGTTGTAAATCAGTGAAGGACTTTTCTAGGAGAGGGGTTACTTTCCTCTCTTTTTAGCTTTCCTGGTGAGGAGAGGATGAGTTTGTAAGAAGTGGGTAAGTGGATACTTAGGATGTTCTGATGGTTGATTTAGCTCAGTTCTCTTTTTTGAGAATTGAAATTCATACAATTTTTAAAAGTAACTTGCCCAAAGTCAGCTATTAACTATTATTGAGGATTAGTAAGAGCCTCTCACTGGGACTTGTACTCAGGTTTTTGGACCCTCAAAGCGTCCTCATATTATTATCTACAAGTATCGTTTGAGCCCCCAGGGGAAGTTTGGCTGCTGGTTTTAGAAAGGCCCAGTCTTCGTTGTTTGGTCTGACACTGAACTAAAATAAAGTAGTTATTAAAACTGACGGCGAAAATTAGACAAAACTTAAAGCCCTAGCAAGTGCATTTCATTCCTCCTCCTTGGGAAGGCCCTCCCATCCTTTCTGGCTATCAGACTTTCTCCTCCAGGTTCTGTGAGTACTGTCCCCGGCACAGAGGTCTTGCCCATTAAATGAGGATTATATTACAGTACACATGTGAAGAACTCTGAGTAGTTGGTCCTGTGCAGAAAACAGTAAATGCCAACTGCTAGGTTCTGTCGTCATTGTCATCATCATCATCATCATCATCCTTAGTAGCAACAGTTTTCAGTTCTCAAATACTCTTAAGTATGCCCTGTAGATTCAAATGCGCCTCCCCTTTCAGTTCCTTGTCCCTATACTCTGTGCCCCTAGGACTAGCCCTTCCCTAACTTCATTGAGAAGTCTTACCCATTCTTCCTCCTTCTCTTCCCCAGTCGAGCAAGGTGGGGCTTTCACTGGCCCTGGGACTCGCTCTCTTCCATCCTCTCCCTCCATTCAATGTCGACATCATGGTACCCATTAACTGCTCATCCCCACCTAGGAATCCACATCACCCATCTCTCCTCAGTGCCTCTGGTTTCCTCTGTATCTCACCTATTGAAAAGAAGGAAAGTATTTTGACTGCTGGAGTAAGAAGGTCTCAAACTCTTTGGGGTTGAAGCTACTCATTAGCCATGCCCACAGTGCATCTGACTTTGAGGTCAGCATTCCAGCTTCATCCACCTTTTTTACTTACTTGCTGAAATAAAATTGGATTTTGAGCCTGTTCAGCCATGCTGAAGGCCTTAAGGACCTGTGTGTGTCTGTTTATGTTTGGATAAATTTGTTTAAATGTCGTGATATTGGAAAAACAAGATTCACAGTTTTGATTTTAGACTTAAAATTGCAAGTCTGTAATATTTCAATTTTATTATGGGTCCAATCAGCTTTTAGGAGCTAAATTAAAACAACTCACCATGATATAAAATTGCCACTGTGGGGAAATGCATTTTATGTGTGTTATATTTAACTGGTAAAAAAACAAAATTTCACCAAGTATGTTTGAAGATCTAATTGGCTTTATTAAGTGATTCATGAATCCAGCAGCCTCCCATATAGCAAGTAGAGAGATGAACTCCCAGGAGCTGTCCAAAATGGAAAGTTTTTATAGAAAGGGGAGTGGGGCAAGAAGTTATTAGCAAAAGAAAACAAAGTATTGTTTCAAGTAAGGTCACTTTCCTTTAAGGGGAAAGGAAGGGGTCTTGTTAGGTGATTATCTCATCTTCCTTTGGAGGTCAGAGAGGGCCCATATGACAGATTACTTCTTTGGTGCTGACCAGAAATTTCAGATTGATTGGCTTAAAATTCTACTCCTGGAGGGGTTTGAACTGAAGTTAAGGCCTGGTTGCTGTCACAGGGGCAAGTGATTGTACCTTGGGCCTATGGTTTTCTCTTTAATGACTTGCAAGTGGAATTTTGAAGCAACCACTAGAATATTGGCATCAGCCTATTCCACACTATTTGAGACTAATTTTAGTTGCTTTGAAGTCATTCTGTACTTAGTAAATGAAATATTACATGTCTCCCAACCTGTATGTGTATTGTCTTAGATGGTAAGGCCTTTGACATGTCATAGAAGGTATTTAGTAAATGCTTGTGGAATTAAAGAACAGAGTAGGGCTTTTTTAATGCCTCTGTTTTGTTCGGTATTCCAGATAATTTGATCTATGTTTTAATTTGTCCTGTGGCAGTTGTTTTTGAAGGTTAGTCTGTTTTCCAGAACTGTGATGTCCAGTATAGTAGCTATTGGCCATATGCGAGTATTGAGCACTTGAAATATGACTACAGTGCCTCAAGAACAGAATTTTAATTTTAACTAAGTTACATTTAAATTTAAAGATTTGTGCTTGATTTAGTGATTAGAAAAAGTTTAACTTGATTTGGAGTAACTGGAGAATGTGAACCTGCCAATTTAAAGTTATATATTTGGCTCTCATTATATTTTTTTTTCAGACTATGCTGTTCCAGGAGATGCATATCCTTGATGTTAAAGATCAAGTGTTGAGGTGTAGGATATGAGGAGGTAAAGTGGGTGTAAGAGGCCAGAGTTCTGTTGGTGCTGACAGTGTAGGACATCAGCAGGACTGGTGGGTCAGAGCTAACAAAGGGAAAGGTAGAAACAAATTAAAGCATCTGACAGCACAGATCAGGCTGGCACTTGTGAGGAAGGGGCAAGGCAGACAGGGCAAGAGGATAGGGAGGTAGGAGGATAGAGCAGCATACCTACAAAAGATAAAACAGAAGTAAATGCTTTGTAGTAGAAATAAGTTGAACCATCCCCTTGTTCTTTGTGAGGGATGATAGGCCATAAAGGAATACCATGTTCTCCTGTGAAGCTCAAACAACATGGAAGTCTCCCAGAGACATCTTGACCAGTGAACATAATGAGGCAGGCATTAATAGGCAGCCGAGGACAGCTCTTTGTCATGGAAGCATTGTCACCATGTCACATGAAGAAGGAGGCCTTTAGAAAAATCAGCTGGACTCTACTCATACAGCATACGTTTATTGAGTACCTACTAGGTGCCAGGCACTGTCCTAGTCCTGGGGATCTAAAAGCAAATGGAGCTGTCTGTGAAAATTGATAACACTGTTCACAGTCGCTAAAAAGTGGAAACAACCCAGATATTCAACCCAGATGTCAACAAGGGTGTGGTTTATCCATGTGGTGGGATAAGTCATTAAGTCCTTTTAAGTTATAAAAAGGAATGAAATCCTAATCCATGTTACAATACGGATGAACTTTGGAAACATGCTAAGTGAAGAAAGCAGTCACAGAAGGCCACCTAAGATTCTGTTTCTATGATATGCTCAGAATAGGCAAATCGGTCAAGACAGAAAATGGATTAGTAGTAGCCAAGGGCTGGAGACGAGGAATTGGGACTAACTGCTGGTAGGTAATGGAGTTTCTTTCTGGAGTGATAGAACTATTCTAGAATTAGATAATGGTGATGTTTGCACAGATAGTAAATCAACTACAAACCACTGAAGTATATGGCTTCAAGTGGTAAATTTTATGTGATATGAATCATATCTCAGTTTAAAAAATGAGTGAAGCACCCCCTCCAGGAGCTCAACAGATTTATAGGATTACACGTAATTATTGTACCTGGTGGGATAAGTGCACTGGTGCCTAACTTGGGCCTTTGGGTGATCAGAAGGGTCTGGGTCTTCCTGTAACCTCTGTCTTTACGAAGGAGTAGAAGGGACCTAGGCACTGAGTCACTCACATTTAGTTGTTTACTGATTTATTTGGAAAATCCATAAAGTTTTGGGTCCTTAAATGGAGGTATGTCTTCTGCCTAAGGATATGTTGTCTGCCCTAATGGTCTCCATACTAAATGGTTTCCAGACTAAATGTCTGGAAAATGAAGGAACACTCAAGGTGCAAGGTTACTTCCAGGAGTGGGGAACTGTGCTGAGACCCTCTGTTGGTCAAGGTTTGCCAGGTGAGAACACAACCCTCTGGCTAGGTTCAGCAGAGGAGTTGACTGCATGGATCCTTAGGAAGATTTGAGAGATGGGATCCAGGCTGAGCCAGGGTCACTTCCCAAGTAACACATCAGAACCGGGCCTCCAGGGATGCTGCTTCTGCCTCCACCATGGAGAAGCTAGGTATCAGCCTTGTGGGGTTGGGAAGCCAGTGCCATGGCTGCTGACAAAGTAACCGTGCCACCTCAGCCAAAATCAGGATGCCACTACCACAGCTGCTAATCCCAGAACCAGGTTACCTCTGTGATCGGCAGCAGCACAGCACACCCTTGATGCCCTCCCTCTCTCCTCATCCAGCTGCTGCACATTCAGAATACCTAGAAGCATGCCTGATTGATGGAACCAATGTAGCATTCCAAACCCTGGGTACAGGGGACCATATAGCAAATAGAGTCTTTGTGGGCACCTGGATGGCACAGTTGGTCAAACATCCAACTCTTGATTTCGGCTCAGGTCATGATTTCAGCTTTGTGATATCACACCCTACTTAGTGTGGAGCCTGCTTGAGGTTGTCTCTCTCCTTCTCCCTCTGCCCTCCCCACCTCCCCCCCCCCAAAAAAAGAAAATCAAGTCTTTTGTTTTCCAGCCTCTGCAGTATAGAAAGATGCAATAGACATTGTGAAACCAATGCATAGAATCCACCGTAAGGTCCTTTAAAAAATGTGTGTGGACACTGTGAATTTAACTCCAGTCTGCTGCACTTTGTGCCTGTACATTGATGCTTAATGAGTGGGCACACTGTGCCCAGCTATCACTCTGTTGTCTCTCCAGTTATATGACAGCCTACTGCAATGTCGGGTCATGCTCTGGCTTGTTGATTTCTTCATGTTCTTCCACTTATGTTTAGTTTATTTGTTCAGCATACACTGGAAATACAAACTGTAAAAGTGGCTCCCATGCCCTCTGGTAAAAGGATGCAGACATGTCCAAAGACAGTTGGACGTGATTGCCATCTGGCGGGAACATGAGCAGTTACAAGATGGATGGGCCAGGGCAGAGTGTCATGCATAGGTGATGCTTTTGGAGAGGAGGTGGCTTGAGAGCTGAGGTGTGGGGCACGAATAGGAAAGTAGGAGAACAGCACGGTGTAGGCAAAGCTGTCTGTCAGGCAGTGGATGTATAAGCGCATGTCAGGTGAGGAAGTGAGGCTAAAGAGTTGCTAGGCAGAGCCATAGAAGGGAAATCCTAATGAAGGTGCCCAGGAGGGAAGAAGACTGCCATGGACTCTTGCAGACGAGGTCACTGGAAAGCTGGATAGGGAGTGAAACAAGGAGTGAGAGTGCTTTGAGGCCAGAGGCCAGTGCACTGACCCAGCTAGTGAGGCATGGCATGAGTGAGGGATGAGGAGGAGTCTTTAATTTGCTTTTCTTAAATGGCTGCATGTAACTTTAACTCTTTATGAACTATTTGAAGGTAAGTGAGCTAGGGTGCTTTGCATAATGCTTTTTGTTTTAGGTTGAATGGTTTTTGCATTGTTATACTTGCTTTAAAAAAAAAAAAAGAATCTAAAACTAATTTAAATTAAAGGGCATTTGTGAGTTTCTTTGAGTTTAAAGTTGCCTGAAGTGAACACATAACATTGTTGGCATCGTGCTTGGGCTGTGTTTGAGAATGAAAAATGGGCCAGACTCCAGATTCTGAACATAGTCATTAGAGAGCATTCTGAGCCCGAACAAACACATTCACATTTGTTTATACAGAAAGTTTTAAGGCTTTTAGCCTAAACTTTAGATCTGAAATGCAGCTCCTGATTCCAAGAGTAATGGTTGCACTTAAAGAGAATATTGCACTCTGTACCCTCTGAGAGTTCCCATTTGTAGTATTCATATGGCAAATAGAATGGCTGGCCCTTTATTCAAAAACAGTGGAATATGTTTGTGGTTCAGGCACTTAAAACATTTTCTCCAGTTACCATATGGCCTAAATTTTCTTCGGCACTTCTCATATAAAAATCCAACCAAAATAGTTTGACCAAATTTGTGTGACTTTTGAATAGTAATCGAACTCCCCTTTTTTGTGGCCTGCAGGAGATATGGATTTAGCCGCCAGAACAAAACAGAGAAGGTAAGAAAAGCCTAGATAATGGGAGAGAACATTGAGAGATGGAAGTGCCCTTCCCCTTTGCCTCTGTCCAACCCTGACTAGCTGGCCGGCCACCTGCATTAGCAAGAGTAGGGTGGCAGCACTGCGGCACCCCAGGCTCCAGTCCCTGGGCAACCCCGGGGCAGTGGGGATGTGGCAGCTGCTTTGGGCCACTGCATCTCCCGCCTCATATCTGCAGCCTGCCACCTTTGTGGGCCAGGGAGCTGAAGCAGCAGGCTCATGGAAAGGCTGGAAGTGAAGGGTAATTGGAAGTCATGGCTCCGGGGGCAGTCCCACAGGCTCTCCTAACCCCAGAGGTGTGAAGATGAACTTCAGGGCCCTCAGCACCTCCCCCCACACCATGAGAGAGACACCCTAGACAGGTATGAGCAAGGTGCTGGCAGTGATGCAGAGCACAGCCATATATTGCAAGCCTGCCCTAAGATAACCTAGTATGGAAAAATCAGGTAAGTCAAGATGGGGTTTCTGACTTTACAGAGCAGTCTCAAATTTTACTTATTTTATATATTTCTTAATGATCCTTAATTGTCAGCTGTAGGGCAGTCATGTGCATTGTATCATCCCAAATCCTTGCTGTGTCTCAGGTGCTTTGTTCAGGGCTCTTCTCTGAATAACTCTATGAGGAAAATACTTACTACCCTTTTCAGAAAATCTAAGGTCAGAAAGCTGTAATGCTCAGAGAGGCTCCAGGATTTGTCCAAGACCACACAAGCCCCTAAAGTGTCACAATAAGGATCTGAACCCAGGTCTGTGTAACATCAAAGCCTGTGCTCTGTTGTCAGTGGCCTCTTAAAAAGTAGAGTCCTATAGTTTGAGATCTGTGGGTACCTTTTTTTTTCTTCACTCCTCATGAGATGCCTAGAGTCTCTTGTATGGGACACTTACTCCCTTTGCTCCCTCCTGCCCCACCCCCTTCCTCTGTCCAGAACCACCATCCTTCAGTCCTTCCTGGAAGACTGCTGTGGCTCCCAGCCTCCCTCTGCTTTATGGGGTAGTTATTGTCTCAGTCAGTAGAGGGCACAGATAGTGACTAGGAGCGTGTGTTCTGAGGCCAGACTGGCTGGTTTCAAATCCTCTCACTCTGTGACTTCAGACCATGGACTTAATCGTCATGCCTTAGTCCACAACATCTGTAAGATAAAGGCAGTAATTGTACTGCCTCACAGCGTTGTTATGAAGACTGAGATGTAAAGGACTAGGAATGACCCATCACACAAGAGATAACTAATAAGCATTAGCTATTTTATCATTGATAGTAGCAGTTCATTAGCAATCAGTCATCTAGTGATTATGATAACTTCTTTTTTGGTTTTCTTATTACTTAATTTTTCCACAGTCATATTTTTATTCTTAACTAAATGGCCATTTCCCCCAAAGCAAAGTGTTCTCTGGATTTGAGTATGTCAGGTAGCATCTAATACAAAATAAGAATTTTATGTGTACATTCAGTTTGATACATAATTTAGTCTGAAAAGAATGTCTGTACATATGGGTATTGGGTGCATTAGCTATGATTGGAAAAGTCATGCGATGCCCATCAAATAGTATTCACTTTGGGCCTGTCTTATCCCCCATGGATACAGGTTTCTTCCACTATCCCAAAGTAGAGTGTACTTCTGATGCCTTTTATAAGTTAAAATAATGTAAAGCAAAGAAGCAGTTGCCATGAATTTATATGAAAAATTTTTTGAGCTTTCCTAGGCCCAAAAATAACCTCTCTTAGGCTTTTCTGTCTATACCTTGCTAACAGACACACAAATTGTAGTAACGCACAGATGCGCAGATACAGTTCTAAGCTTTGGCAGCTAGATGCTGAGATGCTGAGTGTCGTTCCTGGGAAAGAGGCACAGCAGCCCACTGTCACTGCCAGGGGCCATACTCCTTCTATAATGGCTCCCAGCTAAACACACACTGAAAACTGTTTTCACTTTCACCCTTTTTTGTAAAAGTGAAAATCCTTTTTAAGTTTCTTTTGGTCAACAGCAACAGGTACAAATCTAGATCTTCTGTGAAACAATGTGACCTAACAGAAACTTTCCAAAGCAGAGGTTACCTGTACACCCAGCAGTTAGGTACTCACAGTGTTCCCTGGGATCAATTATAGGCATGTTTTAGAAAAGTATCCTAGAGTTGAGATGGTCTGAGAAGGGTATCTGAGACCACCAGTTCTCTTTTTCAACCCAAGAAAACCCTGATATCCAGAGAAAGTAAGCCTGACGTCAACCAGCTGGTGGCAGACAGAGCTGGAATTAACACCAGGCACATTAGACTTCCAGTGCATGTTTGAGGAACAGCATTTATTTAATCTAGGTGTCTCGAGTGTGGTGTGGTATGGTAGTGGATGCTGGCTGGGTCCAGAGTATAAAGCTTGATCACCAGGTGAAACAGTTCAGATTTCTATCCTTCAGGCCAGTGGTTTTTAAACTATGTTGACCACTCTTGGCAGGAAGAATTCTGTTTTTCGTCATGATTTAGTACACACACACAGAGACCCCTCCAGAATAAAAGTTTCACAAAGCAGTACTTAATCCTTTACTACATGTAATGTGCTCTGATGTGTCCTGTTCTTCTTGTTTAATTTCTATAGATGCTGGTCATACTTGCTAAAGTACTTGCAGGTAAACACTTTTTACTGATGTCCCACCCATGGGTCTCAACTGGCAGTTTGAAGAAAAAAACACTCTGTCAGAAAGTGATTCGCTCTTGAAGGCATTAAAGCAGAGAGGAGCCCCTCAAAGGGCAAGTCTGGCAAATGTGTGTGACCTGATAGGAATTTAATCAGCAAGCAGAGTAGAAATGGAGCTAGACATGGGGTAAGGCCTAGAGCTCAACCTGCTCCATCTGTGGTTGGAATGGAAGCTCAGGTCTCTGGATTTCCCACTCTTTGTCAGGGAACCGGTTCACCTCTCCCAGTTTGTGTATTGAATTTCACAGATTCGTGCCCCTTTGCATTGTCCTTTCTCTATTGAGTCTTCTCCAGTGCCCAGCTATTTTTGCATCTTCCTTTCCAGGCCGAGGACAAGAAGACAGCACTTCCCACAGGACTCTCAGCTTCAGAAAAAGCTGATGCCCATGAGGAGGATGAGCTTCAAGCTGCTGAAGAGGTGTGTAACCCACATAGGTCCCCTGAGGCTTCCGTTTCTATCATCTGGGGAGGATTGCCCTTTCATCGCCAGCTTTGCAAAATGGCCAGCTGCCTCCCACCCCCAACTGCTGTTAGCTGGCCTCTCATTCCCTTTCAGTTTACTTTTCTCACCTTCCCACCACCACCCACCCCATGAGGCTCATGATGAAAGAGCAAGTAAACAACCCTTAGATTGCACCGCAAAGGTCTTATGTAGAGACATCACGGAAGCCTTAGAACTGGGGTCCACTCACTGTTACCTCTCCCCGTTCCTCTTCCAGCAGCGTATTCAGTCACTGATGACCAAGATGACCGCCATGGTGAATGAAGAGGTAAGGGGGACTGTGTTGGGGTGTGTATGTGTGGAGGTGGGGATGTGGAACCTCCCTGAGCTGCTCAGTGGGGGCCAACCCCCAGAAGGACCACCTTCCTCAGAACCCTCTCTTTTTAGCACTCAGTATTTCCTGTTTCCTTGGGGTTTTTCTCTTAGGACACTGTTTTACTAATGCGTAGTATTGCTGTCCATATGTGAGAGAGGGATGTCCCTGCTGGGACAGCATCACAAGGGCCTCTGTAGAGGAGCCTTGCCAGCCCTGCCTCTCCTATAACCACCCTTGCCAGACGAGCCCTTGCCTTCTGTTTCCCTCCCACGCTATCTAGGTAGGAAGTAGAATACTGCATTTTTCATTGGTCTTTCCAGAGCTCAAGGCCTGTCCAAGAGGTTTATTAACCAAGGGCTTTGAAAGGATTCCTCCTTTTTAGGGCAGGAAAGACTGGTGGCAGTAAAGAGGTATTTGGAAAGTTCTAAGATTCCCACTCCTCTCCCATTTGTACTTCTTTTTCCTAAGTCCTCAGCCCTTAGGTTCCCTGCAGGCTCTGTAGTGACCCTCAGGAAGAGACCCTGAGATGGGGTATTTGGAGTAAAGAATGACTTCCCAGGGGTATCCAGGGACCAGGAAGAATCTGGCACAATGATCCGAATGACTCAGGAGGTAGAGAGATGGCTTAACATTTGTCCCAAGGCTTGTTTTCCACTTTCCTTGCCGATGAATACCCTAAACAAAAACTAGAGTCTTTCCCTCCCAAGACTGTTGTTTTTGCTATACTACTTCGAGCATTCAGATTTTCCAGTTCTGTGAAAGACAAGGCATGGCCTTAAGAACCCCCTCTCCCTGTGATTGCAGAGCCGCCTCACCGCCAGCTCCGTGGGCCAGATCGTGGGACTCTGCTCTGCCGAGATCAAGCAGATTGTGTCCGAGTATGCAGAGAAGGTACATGGGGGCCCAGCAGGAGCTTTTGCCTCAGGTCATGCCCTAAGGATTTGTTCTGTGTCCCTACACCCTCTCGAAGCATTGAAGGAGTTAAGTTGTAATTCACCAATGACATTTGTCACAGAAACCGTCACAAAGCCGTCAGCATTTGCCCTTTAGCTTGGTTAATTTTCTTCTGCAGTGCCTATGTTTCTATACATATAAAGAGAAAACCTGTCTCAGCGATTATCGCATCTGATAAATCGATGTCTGAGGTATAGCATGGGCATTTTTCCTTCTTTACCAGGCTTCTTATAACTCGGGCTCACTTCAGTGATTGGGTCGAGGAATAAGCTTTGCACTTAGGAGACAAACCCCATAACTCAGCCAAGCCCAAGGCAAAATTTTTTGTCCCACTTTATTAAAAAGGTATAGAATGAACTAAAGCCTAAAAGTCATATTTCAGTGTTAGATTTTTTTCTATTCTAAGAATGGGCAGCAGGACCTTGACTATTTCAGGGAGACAGTGATTAATCATTTTGCACATAACTGATTCTGGTCCAGCTGAGATGTAGTATCAGTAAAATCAGATTTACAGGGCATTGTTTCACATCCTTCCTTTCCTGGCCATACTCAGTCCATCCCCTAAAACGTTGATGTTTGTTGAAGCATCTAGCTTTGCTTTCCCTGTCTCTGAAGCCTTGACGACAAATTAGTTCTGCTCCAACCCTCCGTGCAATATTCTTCTGAAGTGATTTTGCACAGATGATGTACTTGGGGAAGGGATATCTCCTGAAACTGAGAGTTACGACCTACTGTAAACACAGCAGGTGGTCACCTCCCACAAAGTGAGGGGTCTTTTGAGTAAGACAGTGAATAAAATGGCTTAGAATGTCTAGGACTGCGATTCTCATGTTTCTCCTACCCCCCCACCAGTCAGTGCTTCTGAGTACAAGTTTTCTAGTCCAACTTGCATAAAATCCAAAGTATCAAAAAAAAAAAAAAAAAAAACAACAACAAAAAAGTGTCCTCTGTTTCAGTTTGCCACCCAGGCAAGGTGACAGTGGTCAAAGTGTCCTCTGAGATTTGACCGGAAAAAGGACTTAGGTAATTCTTGAAGTTACAAATCAGCTTAAAAGCCTTGAAAATGTAGATGAGGAGAATGATTCATTCAGTGCCCCAACAAGAAAGTTTCTTGTGAGGTCTGCACACACATGGATGGCAAGAGTATGTCTATATTTGCCCTTACGTTTTCCTATAACATTGCTAAATCCAGTTTGTTTTTTAAAGACAACTAGAAGATGCACTCACCGTGCGGGCCCTGACTTTTGTCTTCAGCTCCCGTGGGCGGATAGGAGCTCAGATTATTTTAAGGGGAAAACAAGCAGGCCGACTCTCCTTTGTTGGTAGTATGCCCCTCCTTGCCTGGAATTCCTCAAGTTTACCTCTCTCCCCAGTTAGCTTTGCATGTCCACATTTCCTTCTGGGTCTCTTATCACCTGAACTTTCCTCTCCTTACCCTCTTACAGTGATCTATACCCAGTACCAGCAGCTATACTCTCTACCTACCTCCCATTCTACCAGAAAAGAGTGACATTAGAAGTAGTTTTGGATGAATCTCTTTCCAAGGACACATATAATTAAACTTCTCATGGAGAATTAGAGGTCCAGAATTTACTGCTTGATTGTGCTATTTGCATCATATATGTAGATCTTAAAGCATTAAACATGATGATTTTTAAAATTAAATTGCCTTTAATCCTATTTCCATGTTACAATCATCTCATTGGCATATTACCTTCCAGGGTTAGTCCCACATATCCATGGTTGTTCCTAGTTGCAGCCATCAAGTATGTCTGAAAGAGGAAGGGCGATATAGTTAAAAAGACAGTGTATGAAGTTATATCTTGATTCATATCTGTCTCCTCTACTTTCCAGCTATATGACCTTGACCAATTTGTTTAATCCCTCTTTGTCCTCGTATGTCCCTCTATAAAGTGGTGATAACATTACTCTGCTTAAAACATTGGGGTGAAATATGACTAAATGCCTCCTGGCACATGATAGCTATTCAGCTAATGGTCGCTTTCATTTACTTTTTTATAGTCTGCATTTTTTTTTTCGTTTTTGTCTCATCAAATTCTGAACATTTTCCATGCTTCTAGCCTTTGCAGTTATTTGAATACTAGATAATCCATGTGTTAATACAGCCCAATTCATCAAACATTTTTCTATTGTTAGACTTTTAAGTTGTGTTTGCCATTGTGGATAATGCTCTTGTAAACTCTGAGCAGATAGTTTCTGCTAAAAGGTTTACTAGGAGTTGGATGTTGGATTATGACTCTTTGTTGCTTTACAAATAAGTTGTAACAACATAAAACACTGTCAGGGATGAAAGAACTTCACCATGGCTCTACATTTCCAATGTTCATTTGTCTAACTTGCTACTTTAGTAGCTATAAAATGGCACCGGAGAGGATGGACCATGGTTCCATATTTTTGTTTGCTCTATTTTCTATTGTATAAATTATCTGTTATTCCTTGTACTCATTTCTTTTGGATATGTGGTGTTTTTCTTGAAAATTTGAATATAGTCTATATTCTAGATTTATATATTTCTTCATGAAGTATTTCTTGGCCATTCTTTTATTTTTGTATTGCTTTTCATTATAAACAAGGAATTTGTACCTAAATCAGTGGATCTTTTTGTTATTGTTTGCAGATCTTTTGTTATTGTTTGCAGGGTTATCATTTTTCCATGGATCCAATAAAATAATCCATTATATTTCAGCTCATCTTTTCCTGATTATGTATAATTCTTTAATTTATGTGGAATTCATTTTATTTAATCTAAAATGGGATCCATGCTAATTTTCCTCCTCCTATCCACTACCCTAATACCATTTATTAATAATTTCTTTATACTCACATGGAGATAGCTTATTGTATTTTTGTGGTTTTTATCTAATTTAAACTGTATATGGACTCTTTCTTATTTTCTTGGTTTTACTCCTAATTTTGTGCAAATTCCGTGATGAAGTTATATTTGACTTTGTTGTAGTTGTTGTTTGCTTTATTGTTTACTCTTGTTTTGCCAGTGACCTACCACCAGAGACCACATGGGAAAACACTATAGTTGAACATTTGGGTTTATTGCTGGTGCTAGTGGGGGAGGCTACTCACCAGTGAGGAGCCATATGGCATCTTAGTAAGGAGGTATTAAAAAAAGACTACAGAATTTGGGCTGGATTTAGGTGATTTGAGGGAAGGACCAAGAAAGTAGGGCTTTGTTCTGTGAACAGAATGTTTTAAGGAAGGGCAATTCTATTATAAATGAGTGTCTAAATAAATTTTATAAGATAGGAGGAAAAATTATAAAAGATGGGGTAATGAATCAAGTTTAAAGCTATATACTCATATTAGCCTGTATAGGGGGATGTTTGGTCATTTTGGTAATTTGAAGAATGATTAGGTTTTATCTGTGTTCAGACATGATTACAGAGGGGTCATGTTTTTGCCTTCATCTTCAAGACCTTGTGTGATGTTGACATTCTTTGGAATTATCTTTTTTTAACATCAGAACCCAGTATGTGCAGGGCAGCTCCCAGCAATATCAGGGCCTTGCTGAGAATGCCAGGTTGGCTCTCAATGCCAGAGACTGCTTTACTTTTTTCTCTTTCTTTGTATATTTAGTTATCTATTGCTTCATAGCAGTATTACTACAAAGGTCGTAGCTTAAAACATCACACATTTATTATCTCACAGTCTCTGTGGGTCAGCAGTTGAGCACAGCTTAGCAGGGTTCTTTGTTTAGGATTCTCACAAGATCACAGTGAAGGTGCTACCCAGGGCTGCTTGTCTTCTCTGAGGCTCAACTGGGCAGGATCCACTTCTAAGCCCATGTGTTTGTTGGCAGCATTCATTTCCTGTTGGCTGAAGTACTCAGCTCTTGCTGGCTGCCAGCTGGAAGTTGCCCTCATTCCTTGCTGACTTGTAGCCTTCCCCTACTTTGTCACTTGTTTCATCAAAGTGCATCTAGCACCTCCTCATAGGCTAGACATCACAGTTTTATGTAACGTAGCCATGTACCTGTACTCACATATATCCCATAACTTTGCTGTATTCTCTTGGTTAGAAGCAAGTCACAGGTCCTACCACCATTCAGGGAGGGGGGAGGACACAAAGGCCTGAACCTCAGGAGGCAGAGAGGTTGGTGTTTTCGTAGGGTTGTCCACCATGATGTATGTGTTTTTCACTTTAATCTTACTGCCATAAATTGGGCTAATCCCAGGCACTGGTAGTTTATTCAAAATCCATACCCTTACCTTCAGGATTTTATAAATGAACTCCTTAGAAGTGCAGATGGGATTGAGGGATGCCCAAAAGGGAAGCCATCAGAGAAACTTGAAAGAAACCCAAATTAGGCTTTGAACAGGATGGATTTTTGCTTAGTGAAGAAAAGGGACAAGATAGTTTTGGAAGGATGAAAGAATGAAAATGATTTTGTGACCGGGGAGTGAATTGAACAGCCTGCCTGGTACAAGTTGGAAAGTTGACAAGCATTGGGATATAAAAATGTGGTAAAACACATGTGCAGGCTTCTCTTTGATTTGTAAAGTTCACAAGTTCTTATAACAGCATAACATGATAAATAATCCATATGTTTCAAAGCAAGTCTCTGAGATATATAACTCAATTGAATATAGTTCCTGTAAAGCAGCAGGGAAGAGGAATGTGAAGAAGCTCCCAGATATATAATTCATGAGTTCATGTAGGCTCTCGGCCAAGGAGCGCCATCTCCCTTTTTTTCCCTGAAGGGTAACGCCCTTCCCAGAATGTGCTAGATGAGACACCACTGTGCTTTTTGGTGTTGATGTCTAATATGCTCATTGCATCTTAGTATATTCATTTGCATAGGGAAGGAGAGTCTATGACTGTGATTTGCAGAACACTTAAAAAGCCTGACTGTCGAAAACCCACTTCTGCCCTACTATCCCCAACTAGCTTGAGCCAGAAGAAAG